AACAACTGGCAGGCGTCTTTATCTGAAGTGGAACCATCTCAACAGGCTCAGTGTGAAGTCTATCAACTTCCCACCAGTGCGCCTGTCAATCTCTCAAACATCCCCTCCTCACTTGTAAAGCGTCGCTCTAAGATTTTTGACTTTCAGCGCTCGGATAGAAAACTCATTCCTAACTTTATCCAAACAGCACAGATGCTGATTGTTTTTATCATAACCCTTTACTTTTACCCTGAATCCTGGGCTGCAGGGCGGTGAGCTCATCGGGATGACTGACAAGTGTTGAGTCAAACTGAAGCTTCAAAGAGTCCCGGGGTCAGAAGACTCACCCTGACATTTTCAGAGATTGGTCCAGTTTGACAGTGTGCAGCGTTTTATACCTCAGGGGTTTCCTCCTCTGTTGTAAAGGCTGCACAGGTCTGTCTTTTATGCACAATCTTCAGAAACGATCAAAATTTTATAAAGGAGGGAGCAGATTTGATCAGTGTCACCGTGAGCCTCAGCTTCACTCTTCATGCTACAAATCAGCTGAGGCCGCACCGCCAACATCTGGGTATTCCCTAAAGGTGAAGCTAAAACACAGTCCATGAGCGACTGCACACTAACGATCAAACATGTATGAGTAAACAGACGGTACAGAGGACACTCTGACTGAAGCTGTAAAAAAATGTCTCAGAGGCGTGTGAGTCTTTTTCTCCCGTCCTGAACAGCCTTGTTATCCGAGCGGAAGAGTGAGCGGCTCGAGTCAGGAAGAGGGAGGGAAAAAGAGAGTTAGAGTAGAGTGAGGATAACTTTCTGAGAAAAGAAACACATGGAGGAGGAGTGCTAGCAGCAGGGATCTCCTAAATATAAAGTCCTGAATGACATTTTGAACTCAGAGAAGTGACACTCCAGTTTTCCTTCACATCCGCCGCTGTCTTTTCTAATCCTCTCACTAAGTGTTGGAGATACCAGATGCTGCTCGTGTTGCAGGTTTTCTGTCTGGATTCAGAGTCTCTCCACAGTCAGCCTCTTCTTCTTCTGTGCTGAAAGAGTTTGATGAAATGACAGTATAACTCATGTATTTATTGGTAACTGTTTGACTCAGCTGGACCGACAAGTTAAACTTTGAAGAGGTTTAGATTTCTTTGATTTTTTCATGATTTCATTCTATATCTGCTCTGCCTTTTCCAGAAGTATCACCAGCAGCCTTAATAATAATTTAATGTCTAAATTAGGGCTGAGACTTGATTAAAAAAAACTAATCTAATTAATCAGAGGCTTTGTAATTAATTAATCGCATTTTAATCGCATATAAATATTTGACCTGAGAACAGTGAGAATCATTTTTTTACTCATTTTAGCTCTGAATCCACTCATCTGGTCGAGTGTGGGTTGGGTGTGGGTCACTGGAATTGGAGTCAGACTAACGTTTGCTTCCATGCTAGCTGCATCATGTTTAGCATTCAGGTGATACCGAAGGCTTGACGTGCAGCGGTGATATGCTAATTCTTTTTTGCATAGATTGCAAAAGATTATTTTCTTATTGAGGCTTCTATCCATCTTTTTTTTTTAAAAAAAACAAAAATGCTTATCCACACCGGAGCCAATCAAAGCACAGTCATTCGTGACTTTGTTCATTTTTTCATGTGCTGAGTGAGACTGGAATCACTGCTGCACTCGCTCACATTGGGGTGTGCTGGTATAATTATCCAGTGAGAAATGATCTGCAGTGCGAAAATACAGTAGGTGCGTTTAATATACGCTAATATTTTTAACGAGATAGTATTACTGTAATCATGGACGAAATTTTGATTTCAAAGGTGAGGGGGGGACTGAGTACTGATGTGTGTGTATGAATGTGACGCTACAGAGGGAAAATGATCACCGCCCTCCAGTAAACTTACATCGATGAATAGCGATGTTCACGGACTGACCCTTAGGAGTAATTTACAAAACAATAGTCCTGCTGGCATGGAATAACTAACAGCAGGGATAGCCAATCACACACCAAAAGCGGTCCTGTGTCAGAGCCAATCAAGGACCTTGTGGGCGGCACAAACTGAGGGAAACCAGTTTTCGACTTGGGAGGCTGTTTGGTCCTAGACCTAGTGCCTGACAAGTATCAGTTTGCTTTAGCGTAAAGTAACATTGTTTTCAGACGGTTAAAACTGCAGGGGACCAAAACAGGCTCTTGAAAAAATTACATCCGGGACTGTAATTAATTACAGGGCCCTGGTCTAAATTTTGATGCAGGGTTTACAGAGTTTTGTCATCGTCACTCATGCTGCAAGAAGTCGCTTGAACAAAGAAAAGTCGTTTTCAATAGATGACCTGTATTCCATGTATGTAATGCAACGTGAAAATTCCTCACTGGGCCTTTTAATAAAGACGAGTCAGTGTTTTTACTCCCAGAGGAACTATGGTGTGTGTTCATTTAACAACACTCAGCTGAACTGTATCTGTGTTGATGCTCTACGTGTCTCAGCCTCTGTGTGAACATATGTGAGATAACCAGCTGTGGATCCTCGGTGTATTCACAGTTTCCCCCTGTGAGGCTGACTGAACTTCAGCTGAACTCCATTTGCATTCATATGCACAATTAGACACAGCAGATCTACCACTGCGGAGACCAATCGGATAAGCATTTATCACAGCTTCCATGTGAGCACATAAGAGGACAAGCTTTTTACTCTCCACCTTTAAGCTACGAGTGCGAGTGTAAGATGCAAATTTATGAGTCAAAGCTCAGAGAAGCCGAGTGTGGAAGCGTAACAAAACGGGAATAAAAAGTGTGTTTGAACATTTTTCAGCGATAGTTTGGGTTTGGTGCCGAGTTGTCGCTCAGAGGAGATACACTTGTTGTCACAGAGCTCGCTGTGGGAAACTTCCCATGTCGCTCGAGTGTTTGGCCACCAACAGGGATGCAAGGGATGGATCTCTCTTTACTCATAATTTAAAGGATGTTTTGAGGAGGAAGTTATTTGCATATCATTGAAAAGTGTGTTTGCATTTTAAGTTTCCTCTTTATAAAAATGTCATGTGCTCACCTGGACTCCCTGTGGAGAAGAGGCTTTTATTCAAAAGGTCATCTCCGCGGTGGCATGACCCTCCACCTACGTCTCTCAGAGGGACCTCGACTCAGGCTTTATCTGGGCTGCCAGCCCCACTCTGCGCACACTTTACTGTACAACACACATGCACACACACACACACACACACACGCTCGCACACGGTCACTGGGTAATTACTGTCAAAGCAGACTGTGCAGAGAAAAACGGCTGCAGCCAAGTGGTGCTGCGGTCCTTCCAGCTGGCTCCATGTCCACTTTATTTGGACTTTTTTCAGACCGACCGCAGTCTGACTGATCAGACAGATTCTCAGGGACTGGAGGGTAATTGCAGGGCGACCTGATATGACGCCTATTTGTACCATTTCATATTCTATTATTAACAGCTGTTGTTCGGTGACAGCCGTATTATTATCACGTCTGAAACCTCAGCAGTAATCAGACTTTCATTTGTTTCCACTGAGCGCTGATGGACCGGGCACTGAGAGTGATAAAGTGGACTCAAACTGTTGCAAAGAGCTACAAGATAAAGTCCCATAGCTCAGAGAATAACTTCAATATGCAGCGACACAAAAACAAATGACAGGACTTTCAAAACACTGAGATTACACAGAGTTTGTTGTGTCAGAGCTGAGATGACAGTTTCTGGATTAAGACTGTTATAGCTCTGAAGTGTTCTGGTTTTGGACGCCAAATACTGGACTAGTTTTGAGCTCCCTGACAACCACAGTGATGCCTGCTTTGACTTTAGAGGACGGTCTCCTGAAGGTACAGCTCACTCTCTCTGCCTGTATGAGTCATTATTTCATTTATTCAAGCAACAAACTCAAATCTACAACAGCGGGATATTTAGGCGACCTCCTCTATGAAAGGTCACAAACTACTGTGCAGATTAAGCCGATCAGCTGACGATCAGCTCGCTTTCATTTGTGTGAGAACCAACACAGCCTGTTTGTTTTTAATGTGTCGTTCATATTTAAGATTTTAAAGCTGTTGAACCTGCAGAGAATGTTATATGGGAGTTAGGTATTTCGACTAGAAACACTTGAGATTTCATTTTTCAGTATATTGCACAGCTATATTGTCATACTGATTATATTTTTTAACATAAAAGATCTTTTTAAGGACTTCTTGTGAATGCCTCATTGAGGTTCAGCCGCTTTATGTTGTTTTATTCACCAAAAGAAAATCATAAAACTAGGGCTGCATGATTTTGACCAAAAATAAAAGCCTGATTTTTTTCTCTAAAAACTCAGTTTTCAATTTTGATGTTTTTATTCAGTGACAAACTTGACACCAAACTTGATAACGCTGATAACGATGAAGTGCATATGCCAAGCCAGTAAGTGGCGCTGTAATGCTGCCGATGAAATGCACAATAGACAGAAGAAGAGTACAGAGCATGTGTATTAAGGTTGTTTTGATTGGACACGTGCAGGCGCCATAAAAGAGTTACGCTGTGTGTCACATGATCGTTTCCAGAGATGCAGATAGACATCCACGCAGAGATGAAATGGTCGTCATTTACAGATTTATGCACTCTGTGACCCGTTTTCAAAAAGTACCGTTTACAGTCACCTGAAACGCCGATACGTCAAAAAACGTTTGCGTTTACGCCTGAATTCCTCTGTACATCGAACAGAACATTACAGATAGGCCTGTCACGATAACAAATTTTGCTGGACGATAATTGTGCTACAAATTATCGCCGATAAACGATATTATGGACACCATTTTTTAAATTATAGATAATGATATTATATGGCATAATAATGCGAGTACACCCTGTCAAAAGTGACAAACTTTAATTTCCACACGAGAACAACACTGGTTGTTTTCGTTGACTAAAATATTTCCCTTTTCTCCCGCAACGAAGACGTAATGTTGACGAGCTAAACATAAGTCGGAGATGACTAAAATGTGACGAGACAAAAGTGCGTTTACGTTGATGGGACGAGACGAAAATGACGAACAGAGTTGCAAAACTCAGTCAGTTAAACGCTAAACATACAGGAGCAGCTTCAGTCCGCTCTGACAGCTCTCATCAGCCTGCTGTGCTCCTCCAACACACAGACACGCACGCGCGCACACACACACGTGGAGTTTTGTGGTTGACGAAAACAAAACTGGTTTAAAGCCGAAATATTCCCACACTTGGGCTGTTGCGTTCGGTTTAGACACCAAAGCTGTCGTGTTCATTCTGTTAGCTTGCTTTTCACTCACGACGCTCACTTGCAGCACTGTATCCAAAAAGTCTGTGTCTGTGTGCCTGTGCGCGCCAGCCCCCTCATGACAAAGACACTGAATGACTGACAGGAGGGTTCACTAACTCCGTTCATTCCGCTATAGAGCCAACGCCCCCAGGTGCCGAGAACAATGCGCAGAGTGAGACCTCTTCTCTCATCCAGCGTGTTTGGTAGCGAGAGAGGAGGAAAACAAACGCACGTCAATTATCGAGGCTGGCAAAGTTATCGACCTCGTTTTTATTTATCGAGCGATAAGGCGATTTATTGATTATCGCAACAGGCCTAATTACAGACCATTATCGCACTTCTGAATCTCCTAACCTTAACCCTAACCCGACAGACGATGATGTTTCACAGCCATTAGGAATAACCAATCGGAGCACTTCTAGCAAATCAAAGGTGAAGGAGGGCTTGACCTTCCCCTACCATTACAAAAAAATAAATTGCCTCCCGCAGAAAGGGGGAGCCTACGGTGGCCTGGAGGTGCGAGAGGAAAATCGATTTGATGATTTTAATTTTTTTAACATCATCATAATCTAATAATCCGATTTAAAATCGATTAATCCTGCAGCCCAACACAAAACTATTGAAAACAATAACATTTAATTAGAAAATGACAGAAGTGAGGGTTAAGATTGTGTTAAGACACAACGGTTTAAAATCTTAGATTACATGCAGATGTTGGTGCATATCCGAAACTGTGGAGATTGTTACGATGTACTTTCGTCTGTTTATGCTTTTATTTTCTTGCAGATCCTTCCTGCTGCTGTTATTTTTAATATCTTAATGAAAGAAACTGTTACTAGATGTGTTACCAGAATTTATTTTGCTTGTGTTTCCTTTCCATCCTTCAGTTTAAAACACAGAAACTGAGGAGGTTTGCCGTGATGCCAGGAGCTGCTGCGCTAAGAATACATTTTTCTTTCAGGTCCTCCATAGCTGCATGACATACATCAGACCTGCAAGTTTTATCTGAGGTGAGGTCTTTGTCTAAATCTCAGTTTTTTTAAGTATCATCTGGGTTGTCATAGTAACAGAACAGACACATGGTAGAGCGGTTATAAATAGTGGCTGTCAGAGCGATTGAAGGACAGATTTGTCACTGTAAACAGAGCTGGGTGTAATGCTGGAACACCTCAGCACAGTCTGGAACAATAGGACATGAGTCAACCTAAAGGATGAAATCATGGTGTAAACTGAACGCCACCTGACTCACAGGAGAGGTAGCATCCCACGCCAGCACGCCTGCGAAGACAAGAGCCGTGTGTCTGAGATCACTCCTGTAGACGGGGACGAACGGCGTGCAGAAAATCGACATTTCTGACACGTCATTGTCGTTTTGAGTCACAGCAGACAGGTGTGGTACAGCGAGGCCACGTCATTTTAGGCTTCAGGTCTGAACTTTCTCTGATTTCTAAAGGTCACTGGGTCTTCCAACATCAATTTTAAAATCATACTTAAATTTCCAATAAGGTTAAAACTCAGGCTCACACGCCGGCTTCTGTTTTGGGCTTGGATTGTTTTTTCTGTTCGTTGTGCAGCAGGTCAGGCCTCGTACTTCAGATAAGAGCCTGTTTTATTTGGTTTGTACTCTGATTTGGCGCCCCTCGCAGCTCTTCCCTTTGTTTTCTTTGGACTGGTAATCAAATCGACGTACTGGCATATTTGTTTTTCTTTTGATTTTGTGGCTTTTAAACAATAAATGGCTCTTTGCCTGAGAACACTGGCGCTCACGCTGCTTTTCCTTATCTCTGGACTAACAGAGTTATAACATGAAACGTTTTAATTCTAGTTTCTCTCGAAAAAAGGGCCACATCCTGGAGATCTTAATTCTCTTCTTTTGTGACCTGGTGTCAGGGGACAGATACTGATTTAGCCCGTCATCGATCTGACCCTGTGGGGGCCAGCAGCAGGACCTTGACACTGCACTCAAGTCTCGACAGCAAAGTCAACAGATTCGGTCTCGCACCTTGTGGCCTCTCTATCCACTTACTGTTTTTGCGAGCTGCAGAACAAAAGCGGGATCGATACCAGCTAAGACTGATTGATGAGGCACTCTCAGCATCGACTGCGGAGGGTCTCTCTGTTATAACAGCTGAGAAAAGTTGCAGAATAAATCTCCAGGTTTGGACTCGGTGAGGAGTGACAACGCTCACACCGCCCACAGCCACAGCGCGCCTGCTGCTGGATGGCTGACTGGATCCAGCTGTGCTGCCAGTGGAGGAGCTCTGATGGCCGGGACCTGCAGCAAACACAGACATATATGAACCGCTGTTCTGCTCAAAGACGACTTTGAAAACTTTCCCACACTGTCAGCCTGAATAGTGAGGGGACGTATCTCCAAAAGCAGATATGCAAGCGTGACATTTGGCATCTGCTTTATCTTGTGGTTTTGTGGTGTGAGGACATCGAGGTGTCTCGTTCACAGCCAAATACACTCCACTCAACAGCAGGTAGAGAGAAAGAAGAAGTCACGCTTCATGGAGGTAAATTTTAACTCGTTTTAACACGTCCTGGAGGAGGAGGAGGAAATGAAGCCGTGACTGTGCGGTGTGGGTCCGGATCTGTGCTGATTTGCGGTTGTGGCTCGCTCTCAGGTCCTGGGTGTCTGGTGACTCGACTTCACTGCAGCCTGACATTATTTTCAACTCTCTGACTCAGGCGTCTGCTGCCCTGTTTGACATTTTTGAGACAGGCAGCCATGCGGCCCACAGGCTCATCAGTGAGAGCTGTTTGTATCCGTCTCTCTGTCTCCTTCCTCCCTGTCCGTCTTGTTATCACCCTGATTGGTTTAGTCTGTTTCCCTGCAGCTCTGCACGGCTTGTTGGATTTGTGACTTCATGTGTAGCACAGAGCCAGACATTAATCCAAAAAGATACACAAAGTTCAAACCTAGTGAAGGTTTTTAACTACAATTTACTTCGTTGACATCACTCATGTATGTTGGCATGCAGAGTCAGAGTCACTGTTATTTTCCACTTGATGCATTTTACACCCAAGTGAACCTGCACACACCGTGATACAGTCTGGTGCCCATCCCAGAATGCTAGACTACAGACACCCCTGTTACTGCCTCCTCACAAACCAGCTTAACCTTAGTCCTGCTCAGTAGGGATGGGCAATATGGGCTAAAAAGTTTATTACGATAAGATTCGCCATTCTGGTGATAACAATAAAAGTCCCGATTTTGCTGGACGATAATTGTGCTACAAATTATTGCAGATAAACGATATTATTGACACCGTTTTTTAAATTATAGATAATGATATTAAATGGCATAATAATGCGAGTAGACCATGTCAAAAGTGATAAACTTTAATTTCACCCACGACGAAGACGTAACGTTGACGAGCTAAACATAAGTCGGAGATGACTAAAATGTGACGAGAGGAAAGTGCGTTTACGTTGATGGGACGAGACGAAAATGACGAACAGAGTTGCAAAACTCAGTCAGTTAAACGCTAAACATATAGGAGCAGCTTCAGTCCGCTCTGACAGCTCTCATCATCCTGCTGTGCTCCTCCAACACACAGACACACACGCTCGCGCGCACACACACGTGGAGTTTTGTGGTTGACGAAAATTAAACTGGTTTAAAGCCGAAATATTCCCACACTTGGGCTGTTGCGTTCGGTTTAGACGCCAAAGCTGTCGTGTTCATTCTGTTAGCTTGCTTTTCACTCACGACGCTCACTTGCAGCACTGTATCCATAAGTCTGTGTCTGTGTGCCTGTGCGCGCCAGCCCCCTCGTGACAAAGACACTGAATGACTGACAGGAGGGTTCACTAACTCCATTCATTCCGCTATAGAGCCAACGCCCCCAGGTGCCGAGAAAAATGCGCAGAGTGAGACCTCTTCTCTCATCCAGCGTGTTTGGTAGCGAGAGAGGAGGAAAACAAACGCACGTCAATTATCGAAGCTGGCAAAATGACCGACCTCGTTTTCATTTACCGAGCGATAAGGCGATTTATTGATTATCCCGACAGGCCTAGTCCCGATAAAAAATATTATAATTCCAGTCGATATTTTTGACTCATTTTGTCTTGAGAGCACCAGTTGGAGTAGTCAAATAAGATACTTAACCACAAGTTTGAGTGGTAGGTTATGGAGAAAACTAACGACATCAAACAAGTCTGAAATGTGAAAACATTTCAACATTTGTTAAAAACTCTTATTGCACAGAGTGAACAGCAGCAGATCCACTGTCTGATGTCAGGCATACCTGATTGGACTCATCTAAACCCCAGTCTTAGAGGAAATCCTTCATGTGGAGCCTCGTTCAGTAACGAGCTGCTCAGAAACATCTTCATTACCTTTAGGTGTGTTTGTTTGTCATTCTTGCATTTATCATATCTATCATGGAGGATTTTTCTGACGATATATCGTGAACGATAATTTATTGCCCATTCCTACTGCACAGCCACATATTTCAGATCAAGACTGTCACTAAGCTCTCCATCATGCACACTCTGATATATGCAGCCATACATTCAAGTAGAAATCTGCTGTTTAAGTTGTGATATGCCTCATGGAGGTGCGCCTGTCTCTTTAAGGGAAGAGAGCAGACTTTGTGATTGGTTTGATCTGCATTACGGCCAAAACATACCTGAGAATATTTAAGGATCTACACCCAGGGCGTCACTGAGGACCCAGATTTACAGCAATTAGCGACAAAAAAGTTGCTTCAGATTTACTTTATGCACTAGCCTGTGATTTTTGGACTGTTCAAACAGGCTCTCAGATTAAATATATCATAAAGTTAGTTTTTGTCTGATTTTTAAACCTCACCTGCACCTCAAAAAGGTCAGTTTTCAGCATTTTAAATTTCGTCTTTGCACCTTTTTTTTGAAAATATAGACCTTGAGTGATTCATAAAGCGTCAGAATCAGTTTTTATCAACAGCTACAGCTCCCGAGAACACTGGCACTTCACTATCTTCACCGTAAAGTAAACAGAGACAAAAGGAGAGTCAGTAATGAAATATGAAATGACATCTGTGCTCCATCAGCCTTCAGTGTGCATCAGTCTGACCTTGAAAGAAGCTTTGCCGAGCTGTTTTAATCCTCACAGAGAGACGAAAGGCTGAGCGTGAGTATTTTCAAGACAGGAAATTAATTGTGATGGTCTAATGCTCTCCGCTTGTCACGTATGTACGCAGCATCTAAAATGTGCACACTGTGGTCCTAATCTTCAGAAGGAAAGCTTCATTTTTCATTCTGGTTTTCAGCCCTAAGCTTTCACAAAGTGCCACTTCAGCATGGAGCATGTTTAATGCTAAGACGGGGGGGAGGTTTTTCTTTTCCTGCTCTCTGATTAAGTGACTTCAAAGGAGGTAAAAAATTAAGACAGCTGTGCATGTTTCCTTTTGTATTTTGGTTGTTTATCTGAGCCTTTGCAGCTTCTACCTAGAAAATAAAAGGCAGGCGTTGGTTTTCACAGAAACGAGTCAGAATCTGCTTTATGTTCCGGTGCTGCTGCTGGTAAAAATAGTGCAACAGCAGCAGCAGCAGCAGCAGCAGCAGCAGTAGGGTTATTCTGATAATATGATGGAGGATTGCATTGGACTCCACAGCCGAGTTTCTGCAGGAGCATTTTGATCTTTGTCAGCTGAACTGACAGAACTGAGGAGCTTGTGTCAGAGCAGAGCCCTCGCTGATTTAACATTTAATTCAGAGTGAATACTCTGCCTGAAGAGTACAGTAGTTTAGGACAGACGGGGATTTTACAGAGTGGAAAAAGCGTGAATGTGTATAATGAAGTCGTGACTCAAACTGTTACGGTTCATGAAAGCTTGGCTCCTCTTCTGTTCCAGATACAGACCAAGTCTTTCTTTGGTAAATCCTCCGGAGTACAGGATGTTTCTTTTACATCGTGAATAAATAATAAAAGATCTGGGCCGTGAGAGTGACCAGCGCATACAAAACAGAGTGAAGATACAGCTACAAACAAACAAACGCAGGAGCAGAAAATGGAGTTCAGTGATGAGTCAAAGTCTTCAATCCTGCCAAAAGGTCACAAACCTTGTCTGTGGACCACTCATGGTGGGATTTGGGACTTTAGACGTCACCTCACCTCAGCTCATGTTCAGACAGGAACAATGACGTCTAGACTGGTACCTAAACCTTCGAACTTTTCTCTCTTGAGCTTTCAGCCAAATGACAAAAGGGACCCAGCCAGCTCAGACGAGGTAACACACAAAATCTGCACAAACAAGATCCATGTGAACGAGGAAAAATCTAATCTGAGGTCTCACCACCCAGCCATACAGGCGGAGCTCATGCTGGTGCCAGATCACAGTTGGTAAAGCCTTTGCTGGAGCTGCCAAATACAACACTGTGTGTGTGTGTGTGTGTGTGTGTGTGTGTGTGTGTGTGTGTGTGTGTGTGTGTGTGTGTGTGTGTGTGTGTGTGTGTGTGTGTGTGTGTGTGAGAGTGACAGACAGGTGCTGTTACAGTTTCTGGATGATGAAGAGTTGGTGTTAGTTTCCATGATGAGGAGACCGGCGGTCCAATCAGTAGTTAACGATAGTTTTAAAACCGCTTTTAAAGATTAACATTAGGGCTGGGCGATATGGCCTCAAATCAATATAACAATATATTGATCCGTTCACCTCAATAACGATAAATGGACGATAACTACTCCACAAGCTACATGCCAACCTTTGAACCGTCCTCCATCTCCTCACCTGTCTTTCCCTCTTTGTTACAGACTGGATGGGGTGGAGTCACGTCTCTGACGTAGGACAGCATCTTAAAAGGGACATGAGACCATAGCCTACCTACACACATCCAAAACCAACTTTGATTTATTTATTTTTTTGACACAGAAATATCAATATGGGCAAAATGACGTTGGTTATTGTTGTAAATTTGGGCTTCGGTAAATTTTCGGTTTGTCAGCCCTAATTAACATGCAATCAAAACACGTGCAAGAAAGCTTGGGAGCATGAGGAAGTTTCAAAACTATCATGCAGCCACAGGTGGAGACAGGAGAGCAGGGAAAGAAAGGAGCAGGAGGAGGCAGGAGGAGTGTGTGTAAAAGCCGAGGGACAGAATGAGCACTACAAGAGAGAGAGACGAATATGCACAACTGAGTGATATTGAGCTGAATCGTAACAAATACAGGCCCCTAAAGTTCAGTCTGGAGTGTATGATTTTATATATTACGCAGTTAGACATACATGCATGATTTGTTAACACTTATTTGTCAAAGAATTGAGAGTTTTTAAGTATTTCAAGAGGTTTTAAGTTAGACAAAAGTGTTTTAACCATCATGTTTAATAACCATGGTCTCAATATCAAAATAACCTTGACTTTGATTTATTGCATAATGTAGCAGCCCTACATTAGAGAGCAGTAAACAGCACGGTTGTCAACAAATATTCTAAATTCGAATATATACATTTGAACTTTTAAAAAAAAGAATCAATATTTGCATGTTAAAAAACAGCGGAAAAAGGTCACAGGAGCTGCACCTGCAGTGAGACTCGATGAAGACCGTCCGTAGCACATGAAGAGAGAGATGGAGGGATGGTCAGAGCAAAACTCGGAGAGTGTGGTCTGGACTTCAACGAACTTTAAAAGCTGCGCTTGGAAATTCTTCAGATTTTTGCGCAGACACGGTAGACGGAAAAAATGCTGAGTGTGATAAAGTCATATTCAAGCTGTGTAAATTAGATATCCGAATATGTTCAAACCTATGTGTTATTTTTAGAAATAATATTTGAACGTCATTTTGGAGCAGTTTTGACAGCCATAATTAACAGTCTGTTTCACTTGCAATTATCAAAGCAGAGCTGACGACATAAATCAGTTTTCAGAACTCATCAAACCCATACTTATGTTTTTGCACAAGACTAAACCAGAGAGTCTCCTCCAAGTATCCTAAAGCGGGTTTCAGCCTCACTGTCAGTTCTTTAATCCCAACTGCATGACTGCAATCATTTGCAAATGATGAAGAATACATATTCAACAACCAGCGTCGTAAACAACCACAGCTGCATTTCCAGCTCATCCTCTCAAACCGCTTTCATGTGTTTATCTGAATATTCATCGGTGAACCTTTTCCCACTTGAAGATGTTCAGGAAATCCCTCCTTATTGAGCACAGGCAGTCGAACCCATCCTGTTCAAGAGCTGCATGAAAGGAAATCAGCTGCACAGAGCACCTTTGAGATGCATGATGGGATGCAGCCCCGGACACGAGGCCTTGTTTACTGACAGCTGCACCTCGCTTGTTAAACTTATACATTATCTTTTCATTGCGGCGCGTTAAAGTCAAAACGTTGTGATGCGCACAGCCAACCAGACCTGTCAAGTCTATTTCTATCCTGCTATTGTCTCTTTCATACTGGCTTTTTTTTTATTTTTTAAACTGGCGAAGGTGTCGACCAGTCAGCCAACCACAGAGGCTGTCAAACTGTCAGCGCTCATGAAAGCAATTTGCAGCAATCAAATGTCAAGCTACCAGTCGGAAAGCAGAGAGGGAGAAGAAAACAACAAAGAAAAGAAAAGGTAATTACAGTGCTGAACAATACACTCACTTTTTTTATACATTGTGTCAGGAGCTTAACCTTTTTTCAGCCTATTGTTATTTCAGAGGGGAAAATACGACCGTTTTAAAAACAGATCACCTCAAACCAAAAACTGACTATTTACAGCAACATTAAACTAATAACATAATTCACATGAAAGTGTCTCCGTCCATCAGCTATCCAGCCAGGCCAGATGGAGTATAATCCCTTCAGCTGGCTCTGGGTCTACCTCAGAGTCTCCTCCAAGCTTAGAAAACCTCTTAAGGGAGGCGTCCAGAGGGCATCGAATCAGCCACCTCAGGGGGAACAGCTCGACTGTGAGCTCCCTCTGGGTGTCTGAGCGCCTGACCCTGTCTCTAAGACTGAGTCAAGAAAGCCTAAAACTCTTGTAAAATGATAGACCGTCAAATATCACATCGTCTGAGAACAACAGAGTGACTGTTCCTGCTCTGAATATGCTCATTTCCTGCCTGTGGCTCCTAAAACCAGTGTTGTGTCGTTCGCGAAAGAACCGAATCTTTGAAGTAAAAAATGAACCGAAACACTTCCTCAAGTGATTCGTTCGTTTCTCACTTCAGTTGAGCTGTCAGCAGTGCAGCATCGCCAGGCAAGCAGCCAGTGAATGAGGGACCACATGCACAGACGCCTGAATCACTTGGTAAACTAATCACACATTGAACTTCATTCTCTGGAATCATTTTTGTCTGACAAAACTAACTTCTTTTTTTTCTTTTACTGCTAAATTGCCAACACAACAACTTGCATACAACAGGACACAGCATGTAAGAAGTAGTGCATTGAACCTGCAGCATCCTATCATTGCAGCAGTTTGTGAGGGAACGATGCATGTACAGTATGAATTCTTCTAAAAGTTCAGTGAACGAATCACTCACTGAGCCCAATTTACTGAGTAGACCTGATAAATAGCATATCATAGGACAGTACACTTAAAACATCATGACTTATAAACAAGTTCATTTTCACAAAACTGTTTGCCAAAGCAACACAGACAAACACTATCTTCCCTCGGTCCCAGAAGCTATGAACTGAACTGAATCCTAAACGTTCAGCTGTGTATCAATTCAGGAGGTCGGAGTCACAGGCTCCTCCCACCAAGCACTGAATGATTTGGTGATTCGGTGAACAAATCTTTTGAACGAATCTTTTAAGTGAACTGATCTAAAAGAACTGCCGTGCTCATCACTACCTAAAACCAGCAAAATGAAAAACAACTGAAGTCGACAGAAACCTTGTTCTGGTAGGGGGACTGTTGGTAGACCATCTTAAAAGCCTCTTCTGCCCACATTAACTACACACTTTGTTAAAATTTACTTACATATTTTGGTCGGGTGTCTTCATCTTCTCAGATGGGAAAGGTTTTAGTCAAAGTTGAGCCGTTGATCCGGCTCCTTCACTTGCAGGAGAGTCTTCAGTGGAGTCATGAGGATGAACAGCCGTCCTAAAAACAGAAAACTTTATTTTATTTTCTGGTGCGTTCATGAACTTCACATTTTCTACACTAATCATAATAGAAATATTAAAAAAAAATCCAAGTTTGTATTTCTCTCTTGGTATTTCTTTCCCCTCCTCCAATAATCAATCACTCTGACTCCGTCGGCACAAAGTCTGACATCAATCAATTATGTTTGACCAAAAACTATCAAAGTCGGTGCCTTTTGAATTTTCTCTGTGTAGGAGAGCCAGATTCCCACGTTTCACTTGTTTTTGTTCTCTGTTAACATCACAGCCAAATGTATTTGTTCCCTCTCGACTCGAACACTGAGAGCAGGTGCTTTTTCATGTGTTCTCTGAAACATGCTCAGTGGGTTTTGGGTTCAGTGTTCCTCTGAGGATCCCATTGTTGAAGCACGTCCTCCTCTTCAGAGCAGATCAATGATGTACGTTTGATTTTAAAGTGTTACGTAAGATACTATCTTCAGAGGCGAAGAGGCATTTAGACGGTTATTTTCATAGAAATTAGAAATACAAATATATCAATAAACTAATTACTGAACAAATTATGTATTTAACTAATTTATGCTGCAGAATGACTCTGTGAATCTTAGCTCATCATTATTTCTGTGTGCGATATGGATCTTTAAAACACTTTTAAAGGGTGAAGTAAAGTCAATATAACTTAGATTTAATATTTTCCCTCTTAAATGTGAAGCAGAGGTATTTCAGCGTAAAATGAAAACGCCAAACTAAAGCAGAATATTCAATAACAGTTACACTACCCACTGAGCAATAGACGACTATCAGACGTCTAGTTTTTTTAGACCTAATTTCAACCGTCTAGATTCTGTATATTTTTAGACAGAATTAAGACTTTGCACTTGAACCCATTATTCAATAACTGATCTCCAAGTACTTAACCAAAACAATCATGTTAGTCGTTGAGTAATATACAGTGTAGTATAGATACAGCCCAGATTTAGACTTGGTCTAAATTTAGACTTGGTCTAAATCTGCTTTAAAGCTGTTTGATTTAATTATTTTGCTGCTAAATTGTGATTCGAGGTAAAGATTGACAGTTTGTCACAGTTGATTCTCTCCCATATGCAGGTTTCCAATTTTTACAATCACATTATAAAAAACATTTTGAACCCCTATTTTTGCACACATTTAATATCAAATATAACTTTTATTTAACTTTATACCCTGAGTTTTAAAGCAGTCAGTCTTTCATGCGCTAAAAAAATATTGATTTGTTGCAACAGACCGACTGAAACTGGACTTTTAAAATGCATTAGCCAGATTGAAATCACACTAAATCAAACCTCTCTGGGTCAGACTAACATGTCGGGACAGTGTGGTTTGGGACCTTTTATTTTTATCGTATAAACCACTCAATTAAAAGTTGAATTGTGTTGCCAGGAAAGAAAGAAAAGCTCAACAGATGAAGAAAGGAGGTAGATGGCAGAAACTTTCCTCAGACAGAACAGAGATGTGCACTGTCTCACCATCTCCCTCTATCCCCTCCCTAAGCAGTCTCAGCAGATGACTGTCGATCATGAATCTAGTCCTACTCCAGGTTTCTGCCTCTTAAATAAAGTTTTTCCTCTTCATTGTAACCTGATAAATACTGTTAAGTGTTTCACTCATGTGGTTGAAGATGGATCAGAGTCGGTTTGCTCTTATGAGATGAGGTTGTGAAATGGCGCTATATAAATAAAGATTGATTAACTGAGTAAAGATACCTGAAAACTCATGATTAAGTGTCTGTTCCTCATTATTATTTGACGGTTTGTAACTTTAATGTTTAAGATTCACAAACTCTTTGTGTTCAACATGAAATCCATGAGATTTGGTGGGAAAGGCATCTGTGTGAGGAGGAATAAATGATTGGACATGCATAGATAATCAATCTGTCCTCCAGAGCTCTTCACTTCAGCATCATGGGCTGGAAGTAATAAAAGGATCTTGCTGAGATCTCCGTGTCTCACTTCATTCAGCTGCCTCCTCTGAGGAGCCTTCAGCGGGATGTGACTCATCCTCTCTGCTGCTGTGTCGGTGGTGAAGAGACGAGCTGCGTGACCCCAGTGCATGATTAATTACTGATCATTATCCCATCTCCGCTCCCTTCAGTGGGTGCTGTGCTTTTGTCCTCGCATTTACTAGCGGAGCTTGCTGAAGCACCGGGTTGACTCTGAAATATGGGAATGTATGTGTCGAAGTGGTCTGGCAGAGGATGTCCGGTGCTCTGATTGGACGGTTTTGTAAACAGAGAAGGAAGGAAGTTAATATTCATCGAGTGACAGCAAGGGTGTCATTAGACCTCTTTCACGGCTCAGAGAGCGCCCGTGTTATTGTGTCTTAGTTAGAAAATGAACGCACAACTTAAAGTTTGGTGACAAGAACACGCAATAGGCCTATTTTCCATGAACAGCTTGGACATTTGTGGTAAAAACGCCTTTCACTAAAGAGCTTTTTTTTTATGCAGAACGTTCCTGCAGCCAATTTCTGATGAGTCAATGATGCTGCGAAACATGTGTATAATACAAAGAGGGCAACCCAGGCCCCCTCTTTGAGAGCTGATTACATCTGTTATGTTGGATTTTGTCATTTCAGGTCAGTTGAAGTTGAATCATTCAGTTTGTAATTTATCCCGTCTGCTTTGAATACAGGATTAATCATGTCTGACCTAAGTGCAAAGCTGCAGGAGGAGGACTGCCTCGGTCAGACTGCAGCTTGTTAAAAACGGAGCGTGAGTTAATTTAAATCTATTACTGTAAAAGCACATCCAGATAATGAGACATAACGCTGCCAAAGCCTGTAATAAAACAAGATGATTTCATCTGGAGCACAGTGAGGATGTCTGAGTCACACTAAATTAAGGTGAAATTAATCTTTTCTTTAAATGTGTAAATGTGTGAGCAGTTTTCAGGCCCCAAATTAACACTATTACCTTCTAGTGTGAACTCTGCTTTAGTCTTATATGGTCAGACGAGTCTGTAATTCATACCATTTCATACCAGAGCAACAGCTGCATACTAAAGCGCCTCTAGAAGTGATTGAATAGACCTGCAACCCATCAAATTAAGGCATGACACAATGCATAGCAACGGAAATGTAAACAGGATGTCTGCAGATACAGATTTCCTCTCCGCTACAGAGATTAGAGCTGCTCCTTGTTAAACCCACTCCTATATATCTGTACATGAGTATTTGGCTCCCTATATGTACTGTATATAAAAACTGTATTAAAATATATTTTTAAAAAAACAAACTCTGCTCAATAAGAATGAATTCCTGCAGCTTCGATGTGATTCCCTGTTGCCTGACTATTCTATTAAGGCTGAATTTCCATTTGCTTCACTTCATCCTTTCAGCCTGAAATCACGTTTGTCAGCGGCCAGCTTTTCTTGGAAGATTTGTTCAGTGTCTCTCTGCCCATGTGGGTGACATAAACCAGACTTTTTCTTTTTTTTTTTCATAACAACCGAAAAATTATGCAGAGTTATGAGTTGGATAGCTGTCAGTCAGCTTGCAGCTTCAATGGTTTTGTGATGAAAAGAAGGGTGCATATGCAGAGAGAGATTGAAGACTAAACTGGGTCTGAAGAGTCAAAAGTCAGAGTTTTTGAAGCTGAATCACTTTGGTATTTAACTCTACACTCCCTAACTGGGCTAAATGCAGAATAGCTACCAAAGTTGGGCTGTTTCAAGTCAGCTGGACTTGTTGCACTGGATGAAAGACGGGAAAAAAAGGTGAGATTTTTCCATCCAGTTAATCATCAGTGCTGTGATTCATGCACAGCGCTGCTCAGTGCTTGAAGCCAAAGATTTTGTTCCAGTCCAGACTGAATGAGGAGAGATCTGCCTCTGCACCTCAGTCAGTGCTGTCAGCTTTGTCTCTTAACTTAAAGGGATATTCTGGCGTAAAATTAGGTTAGGGTCAAACGCATCGTAACACCGATTTAGACACCCTGTCGGGAGATGAATGTTGCTGACCGCTTGCTTCTCTAGTTATACTAACTTTCGTAACAACCGCAGGATAACAATACAGAGAGCCACACGCTCAACCAAAACGCCACTCTATAGCCACAAATAATGCTCAGAACAGCACCTAACTTCATCAACAGGACATATAGGGTCCCAGCCATAGTACTAGCTTTGCCAAATGTCTTTAGCAAAGAGACTAAACACAACTCACCAACTCTCTTCCAGCAGCCGCTTGTTTGTATGGAGACCTCAGGGTGACTACAGCGGGGTGACGCAGCTCAAGGAAGAACATTTATGATCATTTCTTTATCATTTCCTTGAAATAATAATCACCATATTAATTATAATATTAATTAAATATAATTATTATAATAATAATCACCATATTATCATTTTGCACTGCAGATGCGGTCGTTCTTCTGCCTTAGCGTCTCGGTCTGATTGAATTTCCATGAAGAAATGATCATAAATGTTCTTCCTTGAGCTGCGTCACCCCGCTGTAGTCACCCTGAGGTCTCGCTACAAACAAGCGGCTGCTGGAAGAGAGTAGGTGAGTTGTGTTTAGTCTCTTTTCTAAAGAAATCAGGCAAAGTTAAAAAGATGTTTGGTGGCTAGTGCTATGGCTAGGGCTAGGACCCTGCGGTCGTTACTAAAGTTGGTATAACTAGAGAAGCAAGCGGTCGGCAACATTCATCTCCCAACAGGGTGTCTAACTCGGTGTTATGGTGTTTGACCCTAAATTAACTTTACGCCGGAATATCCCTTTACAGTCAAGTCCATATCGAATATCAAAACTGAATTCAGGTTGCAATTCAAATTGCTGTCTTTTATTTATGGGACAAAAATGATCTTTACCATCATGAATATTTACTATTATGAAACTGTACTCCTCTGAGAAAAGGGAAAGGCCGTTTCAGGTCACAGGAATAAATAACTTGTACAGAGACGTCCTGCAGTGAATGGATATGAAGAACTCGCTGCAGTAACTACATTCAATCTGTTAACCTTCAGATTATGTGGCGTGACTCATACTAAGCATGGCTGTCCATCCTGGGCGCAGATGGTGGATAACTCTAACATCTCTGCAGGTAGGCAGACGACAGATAACCCACTCTGAGGGGGTCTGGACACTTGTGTGTGTCACTGTCTCACTGTGAATCATTACACCCAGGAGTCCATCACACTACCTGTAGTCTGGATAAACAGAGAGTCCCATTTACCAACTGTTCTTTGGGAGGAATTTGGTGTTAAAACCTACTTTTACAGGTTTTAATAAAACTCAAACTGTCATGAAAGTTTATCCTTATCCTGATTTTGGTCTGAGCTGAGAAGGAAATCTAAAAACAAAAGCACTCTAACACATCTGAGAGCTGATATGCAAATGTTCAAGTATCACAGTCAATGCTTTTATATTCACTGGGAAGGCAACTTGTCTCAGTTAACCTCCTAGATTTGAGATCAAACTTTATTTCACTTGTACCTTAGAGCAGCAGGCAGGAGACGGTGAGGTGTCAGGGGAGCTGAGGGCCCAGGACCAGGTGTGAACTCAGAAGAACCCAATAAACCAGTAGGAACAGGCGGAGAACCGAGGATCCCTTTTGGTGATAGAGCGAGAGTTCCCTTTGGTAACCAAACAGCAGTTTCACCAAAGCAGTCTGGGACCAGGAACTCTGAAACAGACCTTCTGTTCAGGTGGCTGAGGTGGTTTCTGGGAATTTGACAAACCGAGCGAGGCGCAAGATCTAGAGAGAGCTTGAGAGTCCTGACTGAGCAGACAAAGCTTACATCTGCAAAATTTAGTGATCCGATCAAAAATTTGAGGGATCGGAAAATCTGAATCCAAAATCAAACAATCCGATCATGACGTGCGTGTACGTGCGCTTAGTTTTCTTCAGATTGAAGCATTTGGACATGCGCAGAGTTGTCCAAATTCGCTTAAACAACCACAGAAGAAGAGTTGTATTTCCGCCTGTGCTGTAAACAAACCAACAAACCATAGATATATATATAAACGCTAGATGTCGTATGCACGCTGTTAGCCAATGGAGACCGCTGTCTGCGCATGGCGGCCATTTCGCTTCAGGACACTCGCCCACTCATAACATTCCAGTCTACGGTGCATGTAGCATTTCAATAACCACAAATTGCCTAATTTTGAACCGATTTTCAAACGGTTTGGTTTTTAACAAACCGCAGAGTTTTTTTTATGTTCCTGGATATTCAAGAATAATTTTAACCATTTTCATACGTATTTTCATAAATAAACATTAAGCAGATAGGTAGAGCAATAACTATAGGCCTACACACACAAGGCAGTTACATTAAATCATTTATATAGAAAACATTTATCATTCCATGTATGTTTTATTAGTAGTATTTCTATTATAGGGATAACTAATATAAATTTCTGCCTCATGTTGCCATTTTAGATGTTTTTAACAAACCAAACAGCTTGGAAATCATGAGCAACTTAAGTTCTGTTGAAACGAAAGAGCATTTCTGCCTCTCCAACTGATGTGACGTTGTTGGATCAACTTTGTAAAATGTACTTGGTTTCAATCACAGCGAGTCTGTTAGCCAAGTTAGACAGCTGATAAACACAAACACATCCACAAAGGCTGTAACAAAGTAAATGAGGCAGAATTATAAAGGCACCACGATGATGTCTCAATCTTCACTAATACTCACTCAAAATATGTTTAACATGAACACCCTCAAAGTGTTCCTTTCACAGCCGGGGCCTGCAGATGCCAGTTAATGTAGGGTGAGACCTCTTCATCCTGTGGACCTCTACATTGGGGTGGGAAAAAAGCATCCCCACACATTAAGGGATGAATAAACCTTGCTGTAATATCACGCTTTTCAATACAACCTACATTGTCTGCTCCATTAATCTGCTGTGTTTTCCTTCTGTGATTTTGCATCTCACTCGGTCTCCTGGGGTTCCCACAATAAACTCTCTTTGGTCTGGTAAAAACAGAGCGAAAACATTTTTGAAAGACTGCCAAAGCAAATCAAGATTAAAGCCAAGATAAAATGAGTTTTTTAATAGCAGCTGTTTTCAAAGATGGACTCTTGATTTATCTGCAAAGCTGCAAACATAGTCAAGAAGGAGGTGCTATTTTTGCATTAAAGACTATAGTTAAAGATGAGTTATTTTGTCACTGAAGAGAAACCAGACTTCTGCACCTTCTCTGTGCTCTGCTTTCAGGCCTCAAAGGTCCAGACAGGGACTTCAGATGGTGAAGGCCTAATGCGATGGTGGAGGCCTCTGCTAAAGAATTTACAATCCCAGCAACTCGTCTCCACTTTGGGACAATAAAGATATTCTGAATCGGAGCTTGTGGTTGTTTTGTGTCTGTTTTCTTCACTTTGGTGGATGTCTTTTTCAATCTTAACATCCCCTGTATAAACATTCCCTATCAAGTCTTCTTTCCAAAGTGTTGGCGGTAACTTTGACCCTGGATGGGGTTTTAAAAAATAAAAGCCTACAATGATGTCAAACACGGATAAATAAGCACTCTCCTCTCACCCACAGCTTCTTACCAGGACTCCAGTTCATTTCTACGCTCGTTGTATTCTTATGCAATATGGCTTTGTGAGTTACTCCAGTTGCAAAACCATGAACATCAGCAGGCTACAGGATGTCCTGCTGAGAAATGTGGCGGTGATAACAGCTGCTGCTGATTTCTCAGGGCTCGCTCGATCATGTCTGCTGGCGTGGAAGCTTTCAGTGGACTGTCACAGAGCAGAGTGGGGCCATTACACACGCTCTTCACTACTGTTATTTGATGAAAAAAGCTGGAGACCATCAGAGACCGTGTACTCACACAGACTGTGGCCAGACAAAAGTGAGTCCATCTGCGTCTGAGCTCACCTCTCAGTGGGAAGACTTTGACGTCCACAGCCAGCTGTGCTGCGGGGGAGAGCGTCTTCTTCCATCGTGTTTATCGACCTGAAGCCGTCCTCTAATTGAACAGAGCTGGAATAAAACTTTCCCTGTGACTCCCTCTTCATGAATAACTCATCAATAGCTTCATGAATAACTAATCAATGATTCTGAGTCAAAGATCAGACACGCACACCAGAGCTGAACTCAGCCAGAGGAAAGCACTGTAGACTCTGCCTCATTACAGACTGCAGTGTAAATATCACCTGACCATCTGTTGACACTACAGCCTGCAAAGATCTGCACTTAACATTGAGCCAAGCACCCATTCACCTGCTTTTATAATCTAAATCTACATTCAGGTTTGAGATGGATAATCTGAGAGCGACCTTGAGCTAAACTCTCCTCTCTGTCATAATGATTAGAGATGAGCAGAGCAGAGAAAGTCAATCATTAGGATGCTTCATCATTCAGGGGAAAGGATGATTCTTGTTGGTAAATGATACTTACCCGCCTCCACGCCTTTCACTACACACCGTGTGGGCTCCACACACAATCGCTGTTTGAATAAATAAGTAGTTCAATTATAGTAGCGTTCATATTTCCATGTATCAGGGTCTAATGACTGTAAAGCAGCAGCACCGTCTCCAGACAGGTGTGTATAACAGAAATATTTGGTAAGCAGGTGGTAAAAGATGCAGCTACATGTTTTTAAATGCTTCATTAAAGGGATATTTCAGAATTTTTCATGGTGGTAGATGGTCAGTTCTGCTCCTCCAAAGAGAACCAGCATGCAAGCTAGGCTACAGTTTTCTGCTGCCAAGCTAGTGTGCTGGTTCTGATTAAAAGAGCCGAACTGGCCGACATCAGTCGTAGCTAATACACGTCTGAGTTGCATGTACACCGGCAGGTTTCAAGCAGGTGGCAGCAGATTGGTTGTTAAAGGGTGACCACATGTCCTCTTTTACTTGAACATGTCCTCTTTTTTGGGGGCTGTCCAGTCTGTCTGGGGGAGTTTATAAAATCCTTCAAATGTGCAAGATTTTGTATGGAAGTTTTGAGTTTGTGTAGCGTGGACTTACTGAGTTAGAAGCACGTAAAAAACCCTCAAAGTTTACTACGCACAACTCTGCGACTCTGCCCAGTGTAGTCGTGTCCTCTTTTTGGGGGATTCAGAATATAGTCACCCTTGTCATAGTCTTCTACTGTGGTCGATACTTTATCCATTGCAGGATTTTGTGAAGGTAATCTGAATGGATGCAACTATTAAGGAACTATTGAGCTGTTGTTGGTGTGTTGCATGCTCAGGCTTTAGAAATTTACTGGGTTAAAGAAAATGCTCTTCACCACAAATTCTTAAGCATTTATGGGACCCCTGCAGGTCGAGGGGCTCAAACCAATTACATACCATGTCAAATGGAAACTTAAAACAGGTGAGACTCTGGTGAAACATTATCTCAGAGTACAACAAAGCGTATTTACTAAAATATGAAATGGATAAACAATTCATGTTGAGGTTGTGAGTCGTCTCATGAAGATGGTTGTCGATAAAATGTCAGAAGAGATTCTCCGTAATGACCTTTAAAATCTACGGCAGCTAGAGTCACATGGATTTATCCTCAGGTGATTAAAGATGTTTGTTTAATTTAACCAACAAAGCCATGCTGCTTTGATGGCTAATACGCTCTAACGCCTACAATCAGTTCACAGGCCGTTATTAACAAGTCCATCAAATAAAAACCTCTAATTTTTGCATAATCGTCTCCATGTTTGAAGAGAGATTCAAATTGTATGACCTCAGAGCACAAGACAACAATTTTGGCTGTCAGAAAGTCTGTCATAATGGACTTAATAGAGGTGCAAGGCTTTTGTTGGAAACTTGCTGTAAAGCTGGAACAAAGGGAACAGAGTCAAAGTTTGAGAAAAGCCAATAATGGCTTAACATGTGCTCGACCTGGAAGCAACATCTGCAGAGTAACTACAAATATGACACCTGAATAAACTATTATTAAAAGTTTTTGGTCAAATTACTTGTATTTTACTTTTTTTTCTCTTCTATTTCCTTCGTGAGTTGAGCTGAGTTGTCATGAACATCTTGACCTTGTCCCCCCAGGCCACCATTTCCCGTATCTCTATGGTCCGGTCTGGGATGCAAACAAGTGGGCATCTATGCCACTTTTCCAACAGAACAAGCGAGGACTTTCTCAGCCCTTCACTAACTCTTGTGTTGGATCCAACCACATAGACCAGCCTCCGCCCCCCCATGCACATTAACAAGTCTGCTCCTGTCCGAGTCGCAGGTTCCTTTTTGGTCGGTTCTGACCAGGACCACCCAAGAAGAGCTGCAGCTTTGGAGAAGCTCGGACTCAACAGTGTAGCCACCACATTTAGCAGCTATCAAAGTCTCTCCCAACCCACGCTTGCCCATTTTTTTTCTTCCTGCTTTCAACACATCAACTACAAGGACAAAATGTTCACATGCTGCCCGGCGGATCCCACCCACTGACAGGTGCTGTTATGGAGGGATAATCAATGGTTTTCACTCCACCTGTCAGCGCACTTCATGTTATGGGTGATCTTATGTTGTCAGTAACACAAGATGGACCTTGTCTCTTTGAAATCATTACATTTATTACATTTCACACACTTGACAAGAACAAGAGGAAGAGGTTGAAACACATGCTGGAATAACTGAGGTAAAAAAAAACAGATTTTTTTCTTCTCATTGTGAATGTACAGATCATTTTCAGCACATATTCATAGTTGACAGTGTAATATACAGTTAGTGCATGTGGAGGTTTGGTACCCAGAACTATTTAACAACCTGATGATGATATTGCATTAAGAGAAAGCACTCAGACAGGTGTTCTCCTCCCTCCAGCACAGCTCAGACCTGTCAGCTGCTCAGACACGATTATTGGTTCACATGGCAACATTTGACCTTTCACTGTCACCTGAGGTTCTCTAATGAAGAGCAACAATCCAGTTAGCCGGATTTCATTGTCTCACCATAATGCTATAAAAGTGTGAGAAGTCCATGTCCCTGGTTACCCTAGTAACAGGACGGTGAAGCTGCAGCGCCACCACGTGGCCGCAGCTGAATCACAAACGTGGAACTGTTATTCTCAGACTGCGTGGGAGAAGAGGTCTGTGTCAGACCCTCCAACAGATCCAAGAACACATGCTGTGGCCATGTGGCAGATAATAAGGCTTTTCATACAGAGCGAGAGGGGGAACAGCGTGTCACCACAACTTCACACTCACAGCCGACTCGTCATGAGGGTTGGATTATAAAGCCATGCTCTCCTTAAAGGAAAGAAACTGACAAAGAAAAGCCTGAAGTCATGTGGTGACAGACAGCTGCTTTCAGCTGCTGATTGACACTCCTATTGTGACGTGAAAAGCTAATTTAGAAAACATTCGAACCAAGACAATGGACAAAAACACAATAAATATGACACTTAAAATACTGGAGCGCACAATAAAGATGTCAAGGTTACAGATTACCTTCTGTGGTTTTGGACTGATGAATATATTGAGCGTTAAAAAATATAATGCAGAAGCTTTTTGCATCCACATTCACGAACATGCACACAGCACAACCATAGAAAAGACACCTGCGAACAAGAAGAAAGACTGAGCAGTGATGCAACAGGTGCCTATATCTGTACAGACATTTAAGTGCAAGATAATGACGGTTTGTCACTGAAATCTCACAGAGCTGCTTTTCTATAGGATCCCTAAGCTATTAAACACCTTTATTTGTTTTGCCTTGAATTTAAAAACCTGCACAAAGGTACAGAAATATCTTTAACGTGGTTGAAGCTGTCCCCAAAGTTGCTCTTTGGCTGTTATAAAGTCATGAATCGGTAGAATTTGCTGCACTCCTCTTCCTTTACTTTATCTACAGAAAACAAACACTCAACTATCATAAGGTTACTGTAATTTCAAATGAAATATTCAGGTTTTGCACTCCTTTGGAGCAGTAACTCGTTACATGGAGCATATCACATGATGACAGTCGCCACAAATGTTCAAGGAAGTAAGAGACAAAAGACGTGGAATAAAAAGTGATGCTTCAAATGTTGGAACAAATCAGGAACATGTCACTTTGATTCAAGTCCAGTGATGTGATATGAGGTAAAAGATAAAGAACAGAGTTATTTTTAAATCTGTCTTTAAAACTGTTAAACACACACCTCATGTCCAAGTCTTTGTATTCCTAATGTTTCAGTACTGATGAAAACTGTCTTTTAAAAACATATCTTATGTTGATATCATCCTCAAATAGAGCAAAAGTAATACTGAGAGTAATTTGGTTCAAAGATTTAAAGTGGAAGAAAAACCCACTGATGAGCTTGTCCATCTTTGAGTCTCTAATTTATTGAACTTTTAACATTTTATGAAGTGATATGTTTATCGTTGAAATATTGTGTGATAATATTGTTGTTCTGATATTTCATGTGCTTAATTACTAGGTGACAGTCTGATATTGTGACAGCCTTGAGTCTGACAATCCTGAAAAAAATGAAATGAAATTTTACTAGAACATCTGATATTTGTAAAAATTGTACTGAAACATTTGGAAATGAGAAAAAGTAAAGCAATCTTTGAAGCCCAAATGACCTGAAAGGACATATATTTATCTCCTTAAAGTGATTTACTCAATATGATTCGAACATATTTGTCTAAAAACAACAACAAAGCAGAACAGAAGTGATCCCTGTTATTCTTATCAATAAGAACTAAAAGCATCAGACTGGTTTGGAGTCCAGATTTCAGACGACACATCATTCATGAGTTGTTACACTCACTTCCCTTGTAGGATCATGTGCATACCAGTGATCAGATGATACTCTTGTGGAGTGGAGTGGTTAAAGTTTTCTAAAATAATGAAATAAAAATCCTCTGCTCCTGACAGGTTGCCTCTTGGAGACATTCAAGTTTTAAACATATTGTAACTGTACACATAAAGCTCCTACATAAATAAACATATTTCATAAAGTAAATATGGCTGTTTGCTGACTTTTCCTAACAGCACCTGTGACCAGCACCTGCACGAGGAGGAGTGCGCCGTGGAGCGTGATCTGTGGCGAGAAAAAAAATAAAAAGTTCTCATCGACTGTGCGGTGTTGGCGTTCAGTCCAGGGGAACCTCCGCCACACTGGGTAACATGGAGGCGGTGGCCCGCTTTGATTCCTTCATCTTGTCGAGGCCAAAGAGGAGGTCCAGCTGGGTGACCGGCCGCAACCGGTCCTCATCCACAGGCCTGCAGGTGACAAAAACAGGAGGTCAGAGGTCAAAGTTTTCTTTTTCATGTTATTTGCGTGTAATTGTTTAATCCTTTAATTTATTATTATTTTTTTATTGTTTGTGTAATTATCTCTGGAGTAACAACATACATACACACACACACACACACACACACACACACACATTTTATATTTTTAATATTTTCTTTTCTCTTTTTTTTAGTTGTATATTTTCAGTTACTTGTTTCTCATAATTTTAGAGTCGCCTTTTTTTATTATTCTTTTCTGATATGTACATATGTTGAGTACATTTTAAATTTTTTAAAGTTACTTTTGTGGTTCTCTGCCTCTCCCTGCACTACTTATAACTTGTTATTTCAGTTTCTTTGTATACTTGATTAAACGGTGCAAAAAAAAAATAAACAAATAAACACAAAGGCAGTGTACTGATTTCACACTGGTAAGTGTACACAGGTAATAATACTACTCTTACAGTGACCATTTTAACATCTTTTAAATCTAATGTTCTTGGGTTTAAAAAGGGAGATCTGAGTTTTTCTCATATATCCCCTTTCCTGTGGGTGACCTTTGACCCTTGAAGACCACTCTCTGTGCAACAACATTTGGCCATGTGAGAGGCTGGTACCTCAAGACAAACACGGCCGGGCGCAGACCAACAAACCTTAAAGCAGATGACTACAGCAGCTGTCTGGACGAAAACAGGCCTATGTTGATATTAGTTATCAGTCTGTATTAGTGTTTGGATTGTTAATGCTGATAATTACAGAGCAGGATACGAAGTGCTGATATCCTGTTGTTTAAAACTTTCCTGAGACAGACTCTTCAACTCCATGGAGAGTCTGTCTGTATGAGAACGACACTTTAACAGGGATTAACCAGCTGCACAGAGGACTGACACATCCTTCAAAGGAGGATCGACAATAATGACTTCTTGATTATATATTTTTTTGTTGTTGTTTATCAGCCGGCAGTTCATAAAACCATCCTTTTAATCCCTTTAATAATCCTGCTTGTCCAGCGAGCGTGCCAGCTGACTAAAGGAGCTCATGCAATCATTACAGTCTGGTTGCAACTGCATATAATTTATTGTAAGATAATATGTTCGTAATGAATATTTAAAAAGTGTATTAGCTGATGTCACTAATCTGGGATAATAAAACACAGCTGTGGACTAATTATTGCCGGTAGCATGGAAGCATAATGTCCCATCACAAACCCACTGTATCATTAATAAGCAGCAGATATGGTTAACTCCATATGTCATCACACTATTATTGTAATGATGAGTACTATACTACACTTAAAGCTTATTTAAACTAGACTTTCCTATACTGTAGTGTACTACACCATATTATACTCAAGGGGAGCTTTGAGCACTTTTATTTTTTCCTCTTTTATTTGAAACAAGTTTCAACCTTGTGAAAAAATGTGTCTGGAGCTGAACTGGAAATGATCAGAGAGCTCAATCAAGGAGAGAAATATTTCTTATTTTGAAATAATGCCGTGCTTCAAGAGGGCTTTTAACTGTCGCTTAGCAACAGGCAACAGCGAAGGCTCGGGTTACGTGATTTGGATTTTTTTTTATCTCGTATGAAAGATCAGATGTTATTTAAACCAACAAGATCCATCTTTGAAGCACTTGAACAGCTGCCTGTTTTGTCTAAATATTTCAGAGCTTGAATCCTTATTTTTTATAAAGAGAATGATTACGTTGTGTCGCTGTAAAGTCACATTTATTCATCACTCTAAATAAAGCTGCTATCAACACTGGTCTAACCTCACGCTGTTCAGGGCCGCTGCAGCAGCTAAACAAAGACACGCTCAGTGGACACATGCATTGTGATGAAATCTGGTGGGTGTTTGGACATGAGTCATACCTCTCCTCCTCCTCCTCATCGCCGTCCTTTAGCTGCTGAACGATCTGCCTCATCTGCTCCTTGCGGACGTAGTCACGGACTCGATACATGGCGGCATCGCGGCAAAGCTCCCGGAGGTCACTGCCAGAGTAACCATCTGTCCTCTCGGCGATTTCCTTCAGATTAATGGCATTGCTCAGCTGAGCAGAAAAGCATGAAAACAAAATGAGACACTTACACAGAATTCATGTGTTTGCTGTCACCGTTCATGGCTGATCAGACTGACTTGAATGTGGTTTGACAGGGAAAATACAGGTGTGAAATGGTCTTTGAGAATGACAAAAGGGAAAAGTGACGAGAATGACTCTTTTCACAGACGTCGGGGGTGAAAAGAAATCACGTCTTACATTTTCTCCTGCGAGGATCAGCCTCAAGATGTCCTGTCTTTGTCTGGTGTTCTGTGAAGACAAAGAGAGAGAGTTTTCATTCCTGTCACATTTGTCCGAGTGCTTTTTCAACTGCCTGAAGACATTTTAGTTTATGTGGTAAAAGATTTAAAGCAAGAAGATATAACCTCATTTAGGAGGAGATCAAAGACAGCTCTGTGTTTGATTTGAAATATTTGTTGTATCTTTTACTTTACTGGACTGGATTCAAGCTCTACCCTCTGTTTTGGAAAACACGTCAATGGATTGTTGTTTTATTTACAGCTAAAGTCCTAATTAAACCCAATAAGAAAACTGTGTGTGCTTGTGTGTTCGTGTCTCACTGGCAGGCCAACGTGAAAAGTGGTGGGCATCCTGCGCAGAATGGCAGGATCAACATCCTGTGGTCTGTTTGTTGCTCCCATAACCATCACCTTAAAACCACAGGAATCACAACATGAATACACAATGAGGACAAAACCAGGACCAGGTACAAAGTCCTGCGTGTTCATTATTTCAAATCCACCTCCAGAGACAGTTCATCAGAGTCTGACAGTGTTTTGTTTGTGTCACCTGGGTGGTTGAGGAAGTATCCAGGCCGTCCCACAGGCTCATGAACTGGGCCTTCATCATGGCTGTGGCCTCATGGTCCAGGCTGGAGCGGTTCCTCAGAAACGAATCTAAAGTACGAGGGGATGTTTTAATTTCACTTCATGTCTAATGTCCGGTTTTATAAGGTTAAAGATGATTGTGATAGTTTTGTTTACATCCACGTGTACATTAGAGGAAATGTCAGGTTGAGTTTTGATGTTGTAAATTAAATTGACAGAATAAAAAGTGACTGAATCTGACAGTCTGTTTCAAAACTGACTCACTACTTTACGCTTTATTGAGCAGCAAATCTATTTAAAAAAATTTCTTTTTTGGATTTTAATGCTGCCATAGAAAATTTGATGCCCGCCTGCCAAGATGCAAAAATCATCAAAAAAGCTGCTCATAAAAAAAAACTGTCAGAACCTCGAAGTGATATCAGTGTCAGCTTTTTATGTCATTTTTGCTCTAAAGGGTAAAGCTGACAGAAAACTGAAAATACAACATGTCAAAGCTCTTTTTACAGTTTGGGAGGCTCACCAATCTCATCAATGAAGATGATGCAGGGCTGGATTTTAACAGCCAATGAGAAGACAGCAGCGGTCAGCTTCTGTGACTCTCCGTACCACATGTCTGTCAGCGTGGAGGCCTGGAGATTGATGAACTTGCAGCCGGACGCTTTGGCTGTTGCCTTGGCGATCAAGGTCTTCCCACATCCCGGAGGACCAAACAATAAAACACCTGTAGGCACATAAAAAAAATATATATATAAACAGTTTTGTCATTTAAGCTCCTGTTATAAACTAGATATAACTATTTTTCAAATATGTGCTACTTCTATGCCTGTAAAAAAAAATAAAATTCGGAGTTGATCCGCTTAGGCTTAGTATTTTTATTTCAGTTTCAGAGTTTTTTCTCTTTTTGACACACGTACAAACAGAAAATCTGGCCTAACTAACTCCATATTAGAAAAGTTAAATGCTATGAATAAGCATTTGAGACTGGCAAAAGAACTGGAGTCCAAAGCAGCTAATTTTGGAGGTTGACTCATCCTGAGGCTTTGTGCAGAGCTCCGTGCCAAACCATAAAAACAAACAGAGAAAGTTAAATATTCCTCCAAGTGATCATGTGCTGACAGGCTGCCAAGTGTACAAATCCTGTCTGATACTTTTTGGCACGTACTGTAGCTCTGGGTTGAGGCGAAACGCTCCAGATGACTTTATAAAACAAGAAGAAAAGGAGAAACAAACTGGAGAGCTTCACCACAAAATCATAACCGTGACTTAAAGGGATATTCTGGCATAAAATTAATTTAGGGTCAAATACACCGTAACACTGAGTTAGACACCCCCTCCAGAGGTGAATGTTGCCGACCGCTTGCTTCTCTAGTTATACCAACTTTAGTAACGACCAATACACAGCAGTCTAAGGAGCCATAAACAAACCTCAACCAAAACGCCACTCTATAGCCACAAATAATGCTAAAACATCTTTTTAACTCTGCCTAATTTCTTTCACATAGAGACTAAACACAACTCACCTACTCTCTTCCAGCAGAAATTAAATGAAAAATTAAATTAATTTTACGCCAGAATATCCTTTAAATCTTACTGATTCACTTAGATCCATCCAGTTATTATGTACCTATCCCAGTAGAGGTCACCAGAGGGCGAGCGGCAGGTCAAACCCTGGACCGCTCACCCGTCTGTCACTGGAGACAAATTCTGTTAACAAGCATTTCTTTGGATGTGGAGGAAACTAGAGCAAAGGGCAAAGGTAGGACTTAGTCTGTGGCCCACTTTCAGCTCCTTTACTGTATGTCACTCTCTGCTCTCTCTCTCTCACGCTCCGTCTCCTGTCTTGTCCTCTCTACATAAATCCAATAAAAGACCCACATTTAATCCAGAAAACACTTTTTCAAACAAAATCAACCGTGAGATTTAAACGCAGACCCACTCTGGCACGTTGAAGGATTTCTAGTGTTTAAACACTTGAACTACTTTCACACACTCACACACTCGAGGGACAAATAAAAGCTAAGTCATGCTTGACTTCTAAGACAGGGCAAACAAGTATTTTTCAAGTGGCCTCGACTGGTGGAGTTTTATTTTCAGACCTTCATCCAGTTTCTGTCCATTCAGTAAAAATCTTTTCCTGGAAATAAAAGCTCCAGGGTCCACAGATGGTTTCAGTCGAATATTCAGGCAGACAGACATTTATTAACTTTTGCACACTGCACTTGATTGAACTAAGCAGTTAATATTCCACTTGTTTGGTTATAGAAAATAATTTCGCTGGAGATAAAGTTTTTTTTATTTTTTATTAATTTCTCCATAACTTGTTTTAATATCTTAATACATTCACTACAAATAACATCTTTGTTATCTGTGATCCAAGTGAGTGACAAACGAAAGTGTTGTCGGTTCATTTTGATATCAATTATAATTCCTGTGTGTAAAATATCTTGTGTTATAGTTTTGTGTTCAGTTTGTCCATTGCTGTTCTTTAAATGTGTTTGCTGTCGTACCTTTAGGAGGCTGGAAGAGTCTGGATCCTGCTAAAAGGTGTCTCTTTTGAAAGGGCAGGATGACTGTGTCCTGCAGCTCATTTATGACCTCATCCAGACCTGCGATATCTCTCCAGGTCACCTGCAGGAGGGAAGAACACAGTGAAAAACATCCACTTCTAGAAAGTGTTTGGAAATGTAACAGGGGATAAAAATGTCAACAACACGAGCTGGATTACAAATATTACCTTCATAGTCTGCGGATCAACAAGATGAGAAGCAATATTCATTTCATACTCTGTTAGTTTGACCCCCTCAACGCCGATCCGCTTCATCAGCTGTTCTGCCTGCAGAGATGAGACACAAATACTTTTTAACCTCGTCTTTTACTCTGACAGCAAACAACCCGGTCAAATCCTCCACTCAGCTATACAACAGCATATCTCTGTACCCTTTTCTTGGCTTGGCTTTTCTGTTTGGACGTTGGGTCCATTGCGTCAACAACCCATTTGATGCTGTAATAAGTCGCTGCTCCAAAGATGGTCAGCCTCAGCAGCATTCCCAGCACTTCATTCCTGGATAACGGCCGCATCAAGGCCTCTCGGGGAAGATCTTTGAGCAGCATCTCTGCTGGCTGATGTCAGTCCATGAGCTGGATGGAGATGAAGGAAACAGATGAGACGGTGTGAGATCACTCTTGTCACAATCACAGGAACCAGAGAGGCTGAAGAGTTGGCAAAGAAATCTGATTTTATTCTGTCTGATGTACACGAAGCTATTCTCCTGTGCTTCAACATATACCACAACAACCTTATGGTCTGTAACTCAACTCAACTTTATTTATAGAGCACTTTGAATACAAACAAAGCTGACACAAAGTATTGTACATAACATAAAAACATAAAACAACAATAAGTAGTTGTTTTAAAATATAATTAAAGGAATAAAACAATAAAAAAACAATAAAAGAAATGCCGTCTCATGCTGGGTCAAAAGCTAAGGAATAAAAGTGGGTTTTTTAGACCAGCAGAAGATTATATGCAAAAAAAAAAACACATTTTAAAGTGTGTGAGTAACAAAAGGCAGATAGTAAAATCAGAGGTGGGACCATTACTAAAATATTCTACTCAAGAAAAAGTACAGTTACTTCAATCACCATTTACACAGGTAGAATTGTAACTTGAGTTTGTTAATCTAACTAATTCAGGAAGCATTAATATGTGAAGTAATGTTGACTCCACACCTCTCCAGAGTCAAGGTACTGATGAACTCTGCAGCGTTTTTTTCAATATTTCCATATGTACAGTATGTTCTTTTGTGTTTCTTCACTGTTGAAAAGGCAAATGAGCCCATTAATGACAATATTGGCAATTCCATTTTTGTATTTTTAATGTTTTTAACTTCTGCGCGGGGGTTGGTACACTGAGGAAATAACCTTTTGTGCTTTTTCACAGCAAATATTGTACATCAGAGACACGTCACTGTTAATTTCATTGTTTCACAACCCCAAAAAAATTCCTAAAGGGAGCTTTAAGACTCTTTAGGAGAATAATTTTGTTTTAAATATCTTAAAATAAGACTTTTATTCAGACCTTCAGGTCACAGTTGGTAAAATAAAGTGTAATGAAATAGCTGGACGTAGACAAATTCAGATATTTGGATTTGGAATGAAGTGTGTAGGTGTTTTTTTTATGTGATAGTTTACTCAATAACTGATGCAGTGTATAATATTGTGTTATAAAACTACTCTAAAAAGAACAAGTACACAGAAGACCCATTACAGTAACATGAGTCAATGTCATTCGTAGCTTCCCATTCGAAACTAGCTAAATATGACTATATATTTATATGGTAAACATGTCAGACCTGCTTTTCGCAGCAGACACAAGCTTTGTCAACATTAACAGCAACCCTTTCTAACAGCAGGTTATAATGTGGATTTATATTCAGCAGGAAATGACTTCACTGGTTTTCTAAAGGTTAATATTTCTGTTTTTGACGATATTACTGCGTGTTATTAGATACGATATCTTTAACTTACATTCACGCGTTGAAAAAGAGATAAATATCTATTTAATCTCAGGTTAGCATCTCCAGGTAAGCTAAAGCTAACACAGCTGCGACTACAAAACACCAAACTGTCCTTTTTACCTGCGCAGGTAACCTCACAAACCTCACGGCTGGAGGACTTCAACTTTACTCTCAATACTGGAACACAACCTTCCCGACATTTAACATCTCTGTAAATATTAAAAAACAACAGTCAGACTTACCTGAGTGAAACTGGAAACAACCGAGATGTTAAAAAACTGCCAAACACTAGCTTCAATTGTGCACCATGTTTTACACTTCGGGTAGGAACATACGCTCTTGTTCTGGGTTTGTTTCGTTCCACCTAGCGCTTCCGTTTCATGTGTTCGGCCGCTAGGTGGCAGCGCTCACTCACAGATGATTCAGATATATCAGCACCATGGACAGAGACCATAACAATCCAGCAGGTGAGAGACCCACTGTGGTTTACTGCTTCACTGAGGATTGGATTTAGGTTTAATACAGCTGTAAAACGTTCTCTAGACGGAGAGGAGTGGACTTATATGATTATTAGAGTTTTATTTCAGTTCTATAATGAGCACAGAGGATTTAATACAAAAAACAAGGGTAAATTATATTTGGTTGACCGTCTGATTATTTGCATAAATACTTGGATGTAATGACTGATCATTTGTTGTTCTGAAGGGGTCACAGTGGGCTAAACAGACAAATTCAGACAGAGACTAAATCAGCCGACGCTCAGGCTGGCTAATAATATTGTAATCAACCCTAACCATGCTCATAACAGTGATTATTAAATTTTACTATTAAACTTATGACATAGAGGTTCCAGACAGAGCCGGCCCAAGCATCAATGGGGCCCTAAGCAAAATTTGATTTTGGGTCCCTCTATTTCTGCCAATAATATTGATTGTTGATCATTTACACACCTTCACAAATCTCTTTGATTAACATTCTATGACATGCAAACATACCTTTATCTTGAAGTTTCTTCTCCTCTTCCTCTTTTTTTCTCTGCTCCTGAAGGATATGTCCTTTTTTGCAACATTGTTTTGCCCCACAACTACCTGCTCTTTGGATGCTCAGTGCACATTTCACAGTAGAAGGGACATAACGGTACAGGAGCTTTGACATATCGGCAGTAAGAATCATAGGCCTACATCAGCAGCAGCACTAAAATATTTTTACTTTATTCAATTCTGACAATAATATATATTTGATCAGACAGAAAGCATCACTCATACATGCAAAAAATAACATATGTTAAAAAAAAATTTTTTGATTGCTCTTGGGTGCCCCCTGTTGGCCGCGGGCCCTGAGCAGGTGCTCAGTTCGCTTATGCCTTGGGCCGGCTCTGGTTCCAGCTTTCAGTGAGGTCAATCTGAAGTAATCTTTTGCACACCAGAAACTTCAGACTCTGACAATAAATTCACATCACCACCATTACTGATGATTAGATAACGTAAACAAACATGTTCATGCGACTTAGGCTACGTTCACACTGCAGGTCAATTCCAATTTTTTAACCATATGTGACACATATCTGATTTTTTCATGTAAGAGTCAACAGCGCAATTCTGATTTTTTCAAATCCGACCCAGGCCTCTTTTGTATGTGGATATAAATCGGATATGTATCCAATACGACTGCAGTGTGGACGCTCAGGCGCGTTCATCCGACCTCTACGTCATCAATATGCGACAAACGTCACCATTGTTCGACAACACAAACAGGCGCGGAAAGCAGTTTGTGCTTTGGGCACATGCTGGTCACTTCATGGACGCATTCCATTCACAATAGATGCCGCATTCGTTGTTGTAATGTGAACGACCGCACAAAAAGATCGGATTTGTGCATCATAACCTGCAGTGTGGACGTAGCCATAGATGTCCTTAACAATGTAAAAGCACATTTCTGTAATAATATTTCTGTTTGTTCTAAAGCGTGCACATTCAAATAGCTGTAATATTTTGCAGCCTTGTGCGTAAGCCTCTGCTGTCTCTTTTGTGCAGAATATTGCTGATGACCGTTTGATGTGACCAGGTTTATCTCACACACGTCCTCGAGTAAGCTACATGTAAACGTACCATCGGTCTAGCAGAAAGCTGAAATCTAAAGCCCTAATCTGTGTTTGGTTCCCACTCATTTCCAGTCTCTGCAGACTGATAAAGCTGGAACAAATGAGCTTCTTTTCTGCAGGCAATTTATCACACACGGGCCAAAGGGATTGTTAATTGTCACAGATTGTGAGTTAAACTTGAAAATGCTGCTGCACTTTGTTTCCAAACTTGTCTTTGCTTTAGGGATTTACCTGAGACACAGAGAAATACAGCTGAGAATTGGATAGACAAGCATGAAACCGCTGCTGTTTCATAATGTAGATTATGTACAAAAGATAATTAAGTAAGTACACAGTTTCTTATTTCCCCAAGACTCAAAGTTCTTGCGTCAACCTGGAAGGTGCATCTGAAGCAAAAACAAACAAATGTAATATTCTGGATTAAGTGAAGCTGAGTCTGGCCCAGGGTACATCATTAACTGGATTTTGTACCATGTGCTACAAAAGGGGGATTTCCTTTTTTTTCCATTTTCGCACATGTGTTGGTTAAAATCCTCCGAATGTTCTCCTCCCTTTGTTGTTCAATTAGTTTCCAAATTGGATGCAAAATTTCATCCACCGCACAGCTTCAGCCTTCCACGTCCAGCAAAGTGTAAGTCGCCCCTTGTTGGGGAAAATGGCACGCAGGCTGCCAGAGCGCGCACCTTTGGCAGTGAAAAGGCTTCATAAAACACTTTAATCCCCCTGTACTGCAGCAGCGAGTCCCTGGAGATAGGCGCCTGACAGGGCCATTCTGATGGGTCTGGGCATGAAAGCTCAGGCTTGTGTATCTGCAAAGTGCAGCCGGGGCTCCCGCAACGCCTCACACCTCGCCCAAACAACCGCTCTCAAGCTGGTGAGACAAAGAAAAAAACACATTTAGCTCTCATGGCTGTCAACCTCCACCACGGCTGAAATAAAACTCCGCTTGTGCTTTTCAGGTGCCAAAGCTGCGAGCTGCCAATTGATTGTTTTGCGGTGAGATATATCATCCCCTGTTCACGAGTCATTCTCGTGCCATTATGTCTTATTGTAATGCTCTCTTCACATGTGCTACAACTGAATAGTGAATGTTTATCTACCATTTAACTGCACGACTTAAACTGCTTAGCACTTGAGTAAATGTTGGCCACAAGCAGCGGTTAATTACCCTTTCAATCTCCCAGGAAGAGATTTTATCTGGAGCGGGATAAGAAATCATTTGGGACTGGATTATTTATTTGCCTGTTAGCCGGAGGAACCTGCAGGATTTATGTTTGAAAACATTAAGTGCTGGGAGTGGACTGCAGAGAGTCTGCTTTGGTTCTTTTTAGCAGAAGTGGACGGTGTTTTTGGTCCATGCGGTAGTCTTTAGCTGACAGAAGGAGAAGCACTTTCGAATGTGGCAGCTGTGGTAAAAAGTTTCAAAGTCTTAATCAAGGAGAGAGAGGCTGCTTTTATAAAGTTGTGTTTTACATGTCGACAAACCAAAGATGAACAAATGTTGGAGTGCCAATTTGAGAAAAGTTCCTCATTGGAATCAACATTTGTAAAAAGTTCTGCAGGTATTACTTTTGGCCAAAAGGTGACGCATTCTTTACAGCGAAAAAAAAAAGTTTCAAATCGGTATCAATATCAATATCAGCCAAAATATCATCACAAACCTGATACTGTGCATCCCCATTAAAAAAGAAACACCCAGATCTCAGAAAAATGAAATGAATCAATTTAAAGGGATATTCCAGCGTAAAATTAAGTTGGGGTCAAACACACTGTAATAACGAGTTAGACACCCCCTGAGAGATGAATGTTGCCAACTGCTTGCTTGTCTAGTTAAACCAACTTTAGTCATGATCGCACGGTAGAAATACACAGAGTCAGTCAGAGCGCTTCACAAAAAAGCCACTCTATAGCCACAAATGAAGCTCAGAACAGCACCTAACTTCATCAACAATACATATAGGGTCCTAGCCAAAGTACTAGAGACTAAACACCGCTCACCCACTCTCCTCCAGCAGCCGCTTGTTTGTACGGAGACCTTGGGCGAGTCTATTACCATAGCGGGGTGACACAGCTCAAGGAAGAACATTTATGATCATTTCTTCATGGAAATACAATCAGACCGAGACGCTTAGGCAGAAAAACTACAGTGTCTGCAGTGCAAAAGGATTAATATGATGATTATTACTTCAAGGAAACGAAAAAGAAATGATCATAAATGTTCTTCCTTCAGATGTGTCACCCCGCTGCAGTTATGGACTCGCCTGAAGTCCTTGACCCTCACTTAATTTTACGCCGGAATATCCCTTTAATCTGCACATTTGGTGCACAGGTGAGTGTACGGTCAGCAGCATGTGTTCAAAGTCTTCTCCTCTATCACAGAAAGACACGTATATCCAGGCCTTATAAGACTGCTTATTCTGTTAGCTTCCCTTCAGCGTTCCTTTATTCCCTTTTTCATGTCTATTATCTGCCAGTTATCCAAGGACATGATATGAATGATTCATGATGAGCGTCTGACTAAAAAGCCTATTACTGTCATTTGGTTAAAGTTATAAAAGGAAAAAGAGGAGGCAGGTACGACTGGGTGAGACTCGATACTGTGAGACAAAAGGGTGCAAAAGCCTCCTCAGGCATCCACCTCTTTGTTCTCCGTGCCGCGATAACTCATGCAAGTCGACAACCCACCGACACGCCAGAGAAAGATGATTACAGATGTAGTTAGAGACTGACAGCTTTCTCCAGTTTCTAGGACTCTGTCGGCCTCACCATGGTTACAGAGCTACTGAACAACAAAAGAGGGAAAAAAAACCTAAAAGAAAGAGCAATGATTTGTTTTCTTCCTTCTCCTCCATCACTTGAGACACCTGAGAGGACTCTGCATTCCCCGTGGCACACCTATCCATGCATAAATATGAGGCTGGAGTCTGACTTCATGTTCTGAGGAGGAAATCAGTTTGTTTGGAGAATCAGCGAGGTGGAAATTTGAGGTGAATAAAGAGTGAAAAGTTCTGAAATGTTTCCCACTATTACAACAGCTGCTTAAGTCTTTACTTTTATCATCTCTGAGTCTGACAGAGTAATTATCCCTGAAACCAAGGATGACATTATGTTGTTAAACATTTCAGCCCTTATGAAGACGACAAATTGTGTGGCAGAGCTGCGGAGTGAAACATATGATTACTTTAACAGTTCTGTGAAATGCAAACACCTTGTCACTTCAGAGGCGGTTTGAGAAGCAAGAATCTGTTACTGACGTGGCATTAAAGTTTCAAAATCGTAAACATCATCCAAGAATAAATGTGTTAAAGTCTGCAGCCTGGAGACGCTGATAGCCGCCATGGAGCCTGTCACATCGGATGCCTTTTAAACACTTCTTCCTCGGCTGCATGTAGCATGAAAATCTGTTATCATCTAGCATCAGTGGCAGGCTGCAGCCTTCCTCATCTGCATTTAAAATGACGTTTGCCTCTCATGTTGGTGCTGAAGCTCCAAGAGTCTTAGTGCAAATCTGCAGCCTGGATGCTACAACCGCTCAAAAGGGTGACACTTGCATGCGGCACGTTTGTGTGACATTTAATTGCCTCTGTTTACATTTTACGTCTGGTTGGCTGATCTGCTGCACCGGATGCTCATTTTCTGGAGTGTTTTCTGGGGCAAATATTAGCCTGAATCGTGGATGTGCTTTAAAAGGTCATCTGTTCCGTGTGGGCCTATTTTCTGAGCAATAATATTACACATCACCATGAAGAGTATGACATTATATCCACATCATTAAATGGAACAGCAGCAAGAAGTTGACGGCTGAAATGATTTAAATGAGTCCTCAAATAAAATCTAAAATTCATGAACTTCTCTTCCATGTCTTTCACTCTTCCAACTCGGTCCTAACTCCTGCCTCTTTGCTGCACTTGTTAGTGGTTCTGCGCGCGGTCAAAGACAATTTTGGAAGGTGCAGAGATTGATAGGAGGCCTGCAGGTTCACCTGGGCTCCTGCTGTTCTGTGAGGCGTAAACCTGCTGGTTTGTGTGGTCCTTCTTTGTTTTCCAGGAGCTCTGGACCTTGTCTGACTCAACCTCCCACGCTCTCTCTCTCTCTCTCTCTCTCTCTCTGTGCAGGCCTCTTTGGTGTACAGGCGGCAGAAGATCTATGCTGCTCATGATCCATGCTAAAGTACATGACAAGAGCACATGTAAAAAAGCTGTTTTACAAATGGCAAACTTTTGTGTTCATCCCACAATGCAATCTGGCCTCGGGAAGACTCCACTCCACCTGTAAAAACACTGAAAAGATGTTTGTGAATGAGCCGATGATCTTCTTTTAAGGTGTATCACCTCTTGAGAACTAAAACTCCTACAGTCCTTCTGTAAATTATTATGTTTGATGGTTGTAAAGGTCAAAAACACAGTTATTTTCCAAGGTCTCATAAATTCCTCTCCAGGCTGAACGCTTTGCAGACAAGCTTTAATAAAATGCTGCAACACTTGCTCTGAGAGCTGGAAGCAATACTATAACTGGAGTGTAAAATATGTACTTGAAGTTTTAACTTTGTTGACTTGATAGACTTTGGTATTCCCGAAGAAAGGAAGAACGAGACGAAAGGAAAGAGAGGAGAAACTTCTGTGACTGAAGATCAGGACAGATCTCAAGTTACCTGGACGTGAAGGTGAGAAAACAGTAAGATGATGCCCATAAAAAGCAGAAAGATACTTCTATAATGACTGAGACCGACTGTTTTGAATAAGAGGATACTAGCGGCTCACATACAGCTGCAGTCTGCATCACTCAGTAGCAGGGGTCCCAGTCCTTAAATGGGCAAAAACGTTTCTTTAAGACTTGTGAAGCTTTGCACGCAGGGCGAAAAAAGAATACTATTTATCCTTGCTCTATAGAGATCCTACAAATACTTCAGTTTAGATGCAAATGGGGAAGAAGTCCCCTCAGAGAGGGTGGTCAGAGTGATTAGAGGGATAAAATTAACATCTTTGCTTGCAGGAGGGGCCAAAAGTGACACAAACCAAAGTTCCTCACTGCTGCTTTAGATCAGCTACATTATAATGTAGAAGTGATCTTGTTTGCAGCCTAATGGTGCGTTCCACTTCCCTTGGAGGTCGGAGCTGGGAATGATGTCACGCCTGAGTTATCAGTGTTACAAGATGGCTACATCTGCAAAAGTTATTCTTGCACTTGCCTTGTCAGAATATAAACAACTTCTGGACAAATATGTGGTACTTCTGCAACCTGTAAACACGGTGGATGAAGAGGAAACACAAAGGTGTAGAAGAAAGCCTATTTTTTCTCATTACAGGAGCTTCTACTTACCATTTACAACGGGCGCCGCCATCTTTAAATATCAACTCAGGGGTTGTGTGGATCATCCAACTTTCAGAGTTGGAAATCCGACCTCGGGGGTCGTTGCAGTTAAAAGTTCAGACTCAGAGCTTGGAAAGCCCGACTTCCGAGTACAACTGGAACGCACCATAAGTTCTGTACTGGTTCTCCAATAAGTAACTCAATTCAAGGATCAAGATGACCGAGTCATTGGTGGGATCTCCATACTTAAATGTACTTTAAAAACAAGAACAGTAAAAAAAGATTGATTCAATTTTCGTCCCATACTTTAGACAAATTAACACCCAGCATCATCAGGGACTTAAACTTGATCCAGGCTGTCAAAGGTGCGACCAGAATGGCAGAACAGCACCAAGTCCACTTTGATATCATCACCAGAGAACTTATCTCGACTCCACAGCCTCCACCCGGCATGAAGCAGTCTGAGCCCGGGGGCTGAAATCGGTGCGAATCAGAGCCGAGATTCCTCAGGTAGATTCTAATAAGAAAAACCCCGGGGGGATGTCAGGTGGGTGGTGGTAGTGGGTTCATCTCGGGTACGTGCGGGAGAGATGGCAGCCTCTAAAAAGCTGGAGAATAGCAGAAGTGGTCTGACAAGGAGGACGTTTAAGTTCAGAGCATGTGAGACTTGTCCCGTCGAGTGAAAACAATTGGCTGGTTCCAGCTCCCATTCATCAAAGTGACAGCACTTGGCCACGTGGAAATGAATGAATAAATAAAGGAGAACGCATGCAGTGTGCAGATGAAGTGGAGCCTGCTGGACGGACGCCGCCACAGACGACTGTCAGTATGTATACCATTCAGCCCCGTTGGCTCAGCCATGCTCCTTACATATGGATCCCTCCTTTTCAGCGCACTATACATCACAAACAAATGAATCCTGACAGAGAGAAGAAAACTCCTCTTCACAGTTACTGATACTGTAGCTCCTCCTGGGTCCCACTATAGTTCCTCTCTTGTCAGTGCATGAAAAGCAGGACTGGTTGACCTCTGACCTCTGTGAACTCAAGCATATAAACATCCTTTTCTCGACTTTAACTTCAAATAGAAGCACATGAATGCACCCCATGTGGATACAGAAACAGAGCTTCACCTCTCACTGCCCTCCTCCTCAGCTCTGACCTGTCACATATTGATTATTGATCATCATGCTCTGTTGCTAGGTTACATAAGGGCCTAAAAGTCTCCTTCTTCCACGTGCGGTTCACAAGACAGAGAGTGTCTTTGATAAGGAGGCGGTCTGTGCAGCTGAGGCTGTACTGTCGACACATTGGGGTCATCTCTCTGGATCTCTTTTATCTTTAGAGTGAAGAAACTTCAGGAAATCACTGAGAGTGCTTTCTGCAATCCATCAACGCTGTTTGTGCTATTTTGGGACTGAACTCAATGAAAGAGGAAGTTCTGCTTGAAAACTTTTAACTTAGTCATGGTGTTGGAATGTAGATAAGTGGAAAAAGCACGACTACGATATCGGATATTGAATTTTGCTGATATTTGATGAGATCATGTTTATGTTGGAGTCGCCACAGTCCTCAGTATAAAGGTCCTTACATACCGGGAATGACGCAAATATATGACGCGAAATTACAAAATATTTGGATACACATCAACCGCGATGCGATTTTGCGACTTTCCAGGGGGAAAAAAGACGCATCCTGGGTGATTCATGATTGCGCAATGCATGTTGGGTCGGAAAACGCCATCTTCGCCAGCAACTTTTGGTTTACATTGGACCGGTAGATAGCGACACAGTGAGGAAAAAAAAAAACACTGAAGAAAAATGAATCCTGCAAAAAAAAAAAAAAAGACTGCCAGAGAGACAAGCTGGACAATGGTCCAAAGGCTCAATATCAAGACAAAATAAAAAAGATTAAATTGATCCTTATGCGCACCAAACCCCTGCCCAGTTACAGACACAAAGGAGCATGCATGCATGAACCACTTCAACAGATCAGAACTTTGCCCACAGAGAAACACACGTTACCCCAAAACAGTAATGTCGTTACTGTAATCCGTTACTTTGTCGTGCGTTACCCCCAACACTGTTTATTCAGTGATAAAAGACAACAGGATGATTTTTTAAGCATCAAAATACTGAATCAGTTAAGATCCGAAAAGTTGAGCTTTGACCAGAGGGGGCGCCAACACTGACACAAAACAGAGACTTCCTCATAGAAGCTTTATGCAAACAGATGAGACGACATTGGTGTTGTTTTTCTTGTCAAAAGCTTGTCAAGAAACTTCAGAGTTTTTCCAAATCTGTCAAACTTCTCCACTTGAAATAAATACTGAAAGCTCGCACGAAAACTCTGTTTTGCAATTGAAGCCCGAGAACATTTAATCTGTGTCATTTGTCATTGAAAAACCACTCTGAATGCATCACTTAGCCCTTACTTTTTCTTCTACACCTCACATCAATCCATCATCACATGAACGAAACAGAACCTAACAGCCCGAGCAACTTTTTTCTCCCCCTTTGAGAGGACCAAAGCTCTTATTTTCCTTACGAGTCGGGCTCACTCAGCTGTGGCGTATCATTCTGAGAGTGACACCTTCATCATAAATTACACACAGGCAGCATGACGGCACCCAACTTCAGCCTGAGGTAAGCAGTGGGTGGTGCAGGGAGTCTTATGCCGCTCGGCTGCACAGGGAACCATATTGATTACCACTCATGTTTCTTTTGAATCAATCTCCATCACCCATTGGCCATTTTCTCCTTTATATTTCATTTGGGAAGACGGATGATGGAGATGGCTGGCTGCATGTAGGGAGCCTATCTGTAGCTCTGCAGAGATTCCATCAGGAGATTTAGCTTTGTCTCCATGTCACAGAGATTGGCTAATGTAAGGAGGCACATCGCTGTCACTGCCTCCATCCCCCCCTCCTCTCCTCTCTCTCTGCAGCCCACGGGGGTCCAGAGACAACATTTACTTTGTCTGATTAAAACCTGCCAAATAACACCTTAGATTCAGGCGAGACACACTTCTGACAGAGGATGGGTTTGTCTGCATGTGGTGTGCGATGCTGCACAGCTAGTCTGCACATATTTGCAGTGACAGAATGATTTCTGTTTTGATCTTTCTGTCTCTGTGAAGCATAACTAAAATCTTTGATACCGGAGCTTCGGTGTGCATTTTAAATTTGATGCATCAAATCTATCCTGAGGCATGTGTGTAGCGCTAAAAACATTTTGGGTGTCAATCAGTGTCAAAAAAGAATGAATACCCCTCCATCTTTCTTTATTTATGCTCTGGCAGGAAATTAACTCAGTAGCAGTATTATATGCCCCCGTGTTCAACATCGCTCACCATGACAGCAGCCACACACCGTATATTTATCCCCAAACACAGACTAACTTCTGATTGTTCCCTGATAAGCCGGGTTGTTGGATGGAGACTCTGTGGAGCAGATCTGACTCTCCGGATGTCAGACAGATTTATTTTTCCTCCCGGCGCTGCAGCTCGGTCAGCGTTCAGCTCGGCCCGGCCCACCCCCCGGTGCTCCCGCCAATCTATCAGGTCCATCAGTGTTTCATGTAGCCTGAGGGACACTGGCTGGCGGCCCGAATGAGCTTGCTCTTCCTTCCATTTTCTTCCTCTCCCTGTGCAACGTGCCTGAGCCGTGGAGGCCTGAGCTGCTCGCTGGCTGTTTGGATTTATCTCCTCGGGTAGGCCGCGAGATGTTTATTTTTTAACTGTTATGTTCGATCAGATTTCCTCTGGGAAAATACAAAGTAAACTGAATAAACGTGTACTATCTGCATCACTTTTACTTTTAAAATAGCAATATAAATGGAAAAGAGGGGACGTCCTGTCGCTTTAATGGTTAAAACATGAACCTTATATTTGCGGCGTTCTCTACTCCCTGATTCATTTCCAGCCCTGAACGTTTGTTGTACATCACAGCACTCGGAGTTTTGGTCTCTATCCATGCTGTCAAACTATTCCAATAAAAAAGGCAAAGGAAACTAAGACGAGTTGAAACACCTCTTTACAATAATGCATTCATAACATACAGAGTCAAGTATCCCTTAAGTGGCTCTTCTTTTAATCCCCTTCAAAATCTGACTTATTTAAAAAGCCGTTTTACTTTCAGGCATCAAAAATCCGGATGTCAAAACGGTAAATGGTCTTATTTGCTTCTAGAAAGACATCAGTATCAATATCAGTCTATTTTAAAGACCTCACATGTTTACAGCCTTTTCAATTCAAAGGACACGGACACCAGCATTTGCATCAGCTGTTGCTCACTTAATTGTCTGCCAAGTTGCGGTCAGTTTGGGGCGCTCCAAGAAAGTAAAAGGTCAGCAATATGCAGTTTTTATGCAGATGTGGAACGCTTTCTCTACAACCTGATATTGTTGCCATGCTGCAGCAACATGCACAAAAGCTCGGTCTACAGTATCTTTGATAGTTTTCAGGTAAAACTGAATCCACTGCACACGACCACGATGCAAAGACTCATGCCGCCCCTCTGCACTGGTCACTAACTGCCTTTAACCCACTTTATATGGTGAGTATGACCGAATGAATGAAGGAGAGAAGTTATTAGGGCTGGACGATATGGCCTCAAATCAATATTAAGATATATTGATCAGTTCACCTCGATAACGATAAATGGACCATAACTACTCCACAAGCTGCTCACCCCCTCCCACATTAACTTCGTCTACTTCAGCTGCTGCTCCAGGCGCTAAAACTTTTGAACCGTCCTCCATCTCCTCACCTGTCTTTCCCTCTTTGTTATGGACTGAATGGGGTGGAGTCAGGTCTCTGATGTAGGACAGCATCTTAAAGGGACATGAGACCATAGCCTACCTACACACATCCAAAACAAACTTTGATTTATTTATTTATTTTGACACAGAATTTATTGACATGGGCAAAATGACATTGGTTATTGTCGTGAATTTCGGTATCGGTAAATTTTTGGTTTATTGCCCAGCCCTATGAGTTATGAAGTGAAGCTGCTGCACTGATCTGCCTTAATGTGTATCTAGCATGATACAGTCATGCATCTTCGAGCGACCTACAGGAACAGAACTTATCCAGTCCCTGGACACAGAATAATGTAAATCTATTCTTATTTAAACTTTCCAACTGACACAATTAACTACATCAGAGATTTGCCCAAGATTGACCACATTTGTGAGTGGCACCTCTCTTCGTTTTTGGACATTTATTGTAAACCTAAATGTTAAATGTTGTGACACAAAATAAAAGGTACCAAAACGAAGGAGCTGCTTCAGCTGAAGTTAAAACTGTAAATGGAAACAAGTTGTGGAAAGACTAGAAAAGGGACAACGACCGGGGAGAGCTCTTCAGTTTTCACCTTCACAGTTTGTTTTTTTATCATCATATTTGAGGACTTTTTTAAAACCAGCCGGGGTCATATAACAGTCAGGATTACATTTAAGACCACAAGGACATCTAAACTGGGCATGAAGTGTAAGTTAGGGTTTTACAAAGATGGCAGGATTTTATACGATCCCTGTGTGAATTATAACCAGCAGCATCTGTGCTACAGTTTACAGGGCTGTAAAGGGCATCATAGAGAGCGGTGACGTACTGTAACTGCCTCTCCTCACCCTGCCAAGGTTGTTACTGCTCAAAAAAACAAGCCGCATCGAAACACAACACGCCATAATGCAGCGTGACATGTTTAATATAAGTCAGGCCAGCAGGACCGTGTGATGAAATGACAAAAGCGGAGACTTTTATGGCGTCTCTGCGCTGGGAACATCGAGATGTTTAATAAAGCTAGTTCTGTTTGGTACTTTATAAGAGGAAGGAAAAGAAGAGGAGGAGGAGGTCTCCCTCTGCTACAGTAACATCACACTGTGACCTTTAAGAGGCAGCAAGACGACAAAATATACAACATATTTTCTGTTAAATCATCTCCAGCCAAATCTGTGCTCTGCCAAACTTGTATGTCAGCGTTTGCAGAAAAAAACGGAGGACCCCCTTTTAAAGAGTGATTTATCTTTCGGCGCTGGTGATCTCTGGCCCTCTACTAAGCTCTTAAAGAACACATTTACACAGAGTGTGATTACACTCTCCAAAGGTCAGTGCAGGGAAAAGTGCCCGTAATCATGTATCTAGTTTAAAATCAGAGAGAAGTGGATCAGGACTGTTTTATGAGGTCTTGGCACGCTCTTTCATTTTCTTGTTGCTTAGAAACTGGGTTCATGTGGAGTTTTTGAAGGATTCTGGACCGCTCACGCCGCCATGCCAGAAATCTCATACATCTTTTGTGACCCCCCCTCCTTAAGGGTATTTAAGGAAACATGTGCAGAGACTGGAGGGCCCAGGATTACACTGCTCTGTGTTAGCAGATATGTCTATGTTTACGTGAAGGTAAAGACAAGACGCACGCAGTTTGTTCATTTTTACAAACACAACCCCCCCGAGGGAACAAAACTAAAGATACACGACTTTTCAAGTTTGAAGTGCCTTAGTCGAATCCAGCGGAGGAAAAAGTGGATTTAACAGGAAGCTGACTGAATAAATTCACACACAAACAGATGTCATTTGGCATCAACACAAGGATGCCCGAGGCTAATGCGCTCCTCAGATGTCTTGAGAATATATCGCCGAACAGAATCCACCAAGGACCTCATCAAATAATATTATATTTTGAGTGAAATCTGAGACACATGCTGGTTATTTCAGCCATGACCTGTTCTTTGCAGCTCTGCCAATTCACAGTTAAACTAATAACTTTTATTCGGGTATGATACTGAAATGCTAACTGCATTTTAAAACTATTGGACGAATAATCTTTTATTAGTTTACCTGGTTTAAACCTGTGAAAAGTTGAAATATTCAAATATCTACCTATGTGCTACAGCAAAAGTGTGCCGGCCTGTCAGTCAAAGCAGGCTCCCCCACACATAATCTTATCAACTTTACAACAAAAAAGTTTAAAATATATGTTTATACAGTGTGTGTTTGTGTGTATGTGTGTGTGTGTGTGTGTGTGTGTGTGTGTGTGTGTGTGTGTGTGTGTGTGTGTGTGTGTGTGTGTAGAGCAATGAGCTCATTGGAGTGATAAGTAACAGGCTGTAAACATGTCTGTGTGTGTTGCATTTTTAGAATGGGTGTGTATGTAGTGGTTAGGGCTTTTGCGGCCAGCCTCAAGTGGACACTTGTGGTACTGCAGTTTTTTTTACACTTGCTTCACTTCTTAAGACTGGAGGTTGCCACTTGGTCAGAATGCACTAAGAGTACTATCCTGTTTATTCTGGGTCTCAGAGGCCTAGTTAGAGACCACACGAATGATTTGCACATAAAAGCTGCGGATAGCCGTTTATGCTAATTTCAACAGTGATCCTTGCCAATTCAACCAGCAGGATCAAGTGGTTTTTACAACTTACCAGGTAATCCGACCTCCTCACTCACTTGCCTCCAGGTGAGCTCCTTTTTATCCTGGTTTCGGTAATTGAAAGAAAAGGTTTCTTTTTATTCGGGGCACCCTCACACCAACACGATCAGTTTGTCCTCCATTCTGGATACCAGTGAACAACCGTCCGTTTTCATACGTCACCCAGGAACCTTTGTGCTGATTGGTTACCGCGATGCAAATATCCACTCAAGTTGAGACATTTTCAACTCTCACAAATTCATGTACGCTCAATTTGCACGAATAACTCGCTCAATTCGCGCCACCCAATTCACGTCATTTGCGCCACCAGACTAGCATGAGCGTCTAATCGAGTCTTTACAATGACTTTATTCGTGCAAATGATTTTACTTGTGCTTGGTGTGAATGCCCCCCCCCAAAAAGGGAACTTTTAATATTTCAAAATTTTTAAGCACTTTTATTTACAATGTCTCTGAACATCTTCCTCAAAATCACACAGAGAAAAAAGAGAAATTTAATCTATATGTAGATGAGATTAACACTAGCTCCAGGAAATTGCTTTCTTGTCTCTCACCCCTAAAATACACATTTTTTTGGTTTCTAACACATTGATGTTTCATAGTATTCAAATGGAGCTGATTTCACCCTGTTTCCAACCAAGCGACAAAGCTGAAATCCCTGATAGTGCTGTTCGTGTTCTCAGAAATCACAGACTGATTTTTAGGCAGATTTTCTTCCTTTAGTCATAAATCTTGATGTTAAATTAGCTAACGAAGCAAACAGGTGTAAAAATTATAAAATCTCTCTCTTTGACTCTCCGCAAAAAGACAAATGAGTACATTCAGTAAAATCTAACAAGCTCTTTGTGTTTCTTGCAAAAGTAAAGAGTTAATTGTAGTCGACACTCTTTAGTCATTATAAAAACACTAATGGACCAGCGCTTCATTAAACTCCTAGCATCATGAAAGACATCAAAACTCCATAAGTAAGGAGCTAAATGGTTCTCCCCAGGGCTATTTTTGATAATACTCTACCCTCCCTGCGGCTGAAATTAAACAAAAGCAATCAATCTCTCCTAAATAGATACAGACACACGAGCTGCATGCTGATCCTGATATTTGAGGCTGAATTTTGTGAGATACAGATGTTTTTTTCCTCCGCAGAGCATCACATCTAAGGTGCTCCAGGAGGAAGAACAAATATTTAACGGTTGAGTTTGGTCTCTGATCCTGGAGAATATTGATAGAAGGCGAATCATTTTGAGCTTCTTTCCTTTTTACTGCCTCTTCACTAATGTCAGCAAGCAAATAATCACACTCTCATAACTTGAATTTACAGTTTTTTTCCACTCGAGGTCAAGGTAGTACACAATAATCTGACCTAATAACACCTTTTAGAGCATCTTTGAAGGAAGTCATCCTGCTTTTACGGCTCTGAGAGTCAGGATGGGACCAAAGCTTTAAAGCACCAGCACTCAGACACTTCTCTTAAAAGCAGCAGTATACTTACCATCTCTGAATCTTCACTCCATCCATCAAGGGCATCTTTTACAAGCCAAGACAGTCACACAGCCGAGCAGAAGAGGCCTCAACATCCTGAGAGATAGTGTCAGTCACCTGGTTTGGTTTACTGTACAGATAGAAACACATTTAGTTGGAGGAAAAAGCTGCAGCCTAATGATCTCAATGTAAAGATTTAAACCTTGTCCACAGTTTTAGGCTTTTATCTGCAAAGTAAAATCATCAGGTTCACTTAGAGTTTACTCCGGTCACATTTGGGTGAAGTTCAGTACCAGGCAGGCTGGGAAGAGAAGCAGACGGCACAATAATGAACAGGGGTGCAAAGGAAGAAGAGTTAGGATCTGATTTGAAAGCGATCAGACACTTCTCACCTGAATTCTGTAGAATTTTAAACGAAGGTTCGTCCGTCACTCCAAAGTCTCTGAGTTCTCTTTCTCTAAAAAGGATGAGCTAATGGACTTTTCTCTCTATAAACTAATGAGAGTAAGAGGCTCTTTTCATCCTTTAGAAATGATTTTTTTTTAACCATCTTCTGTACATGTTTACCTGTGACATAAAGAACAAACACCACTGTGAGCTTTAATGACCACCAAGGCCGGTCACCATGGTAACTATGAGCCACAAACATGTCGCCCGTGACATTTCCCTCCAAACACTCACACTTATGTGATTGTTTGGTATAACTACATACTATATATACCAGACTCTCCTACTGTTATATTGCAAAGGTCCGAGCTTGTTCCCTTTCAGCACTGCTATTATATGTCATTGTGAGTGTTTCAGCAGCTGTTCTGGGTCATATCTTCACATACCAAGAGTATCTTCTCCATTATTCTATCATAGATTATATGTCATATCATGCATAATCTTCTAGATCATAATTGTTACACGGACCTATAATTAAGTTGCTTTCAGAGGTGTTAGAAAAAGTGGTTGCCTAGCAGCTTGCATCTATTTTAGAGGATGATTTAGAGAAACTCCAATCTGGTCTCCATCAGAGGCCTTCAGAAACGCCTCACCCTCAGGGTCACATTGAGTTAAAGGTAGGTGAGCATCATTGTAACAGTAGTAGACTTATTTCCTTCTTATTCACCCTGTAGAACATTTCCAGTCACTCCTGGTAAACATGTTTTATCAGCCTGAGCCCTGTCCTGTGGAGTCCCTCAGGGTTCTGTCCTGGGTCCTCTTATTTTCTTCATATCTGAACCCCCTGTGATATGTGATAACAGCTTTTGAAGGTGTCATTGTTATACAGATGCCACTTGACCGTGTGAACTGTTTTATCTGTTTATGCCTGCTTTTAATTTATTATTGTGAAGCACCTTGTGACTTTTCTCTCTCTCTTTTATCCCAAATGAGGCGAACAAGTACCAGTATTGTTTCAAACACTGAGAATGAACTAAACCATTTTGAGAATCAAGCCCCACATCTGTATTATTTTATCAAGTTTTCCACTGACCTTGAATATATCTTTCACCACATGACTGTAGGCCATGAATATTCACACATATCCTCTCACAGTGTGAGGTCTTTCCTGTTGGATGGTGGGGGGGCTCAAGGGGTTAGACATGACGTCAAAGAGACGCCGTTGTGGTCACAGTGTTATGTTTTTTTTATTAAAGAGGATTAGGAGTATAAATATTAATATTATAAGAATAAATTCATAAGATAGTAAAGCTGTAATTTTAAAAGATTTGTGGTTGTGGTTGGCCTTTCTGTTATTTTCAACAAATCGTGAGAGCAGCCTGACCTACATGAGGAATCTGCAAGTTTTACTTTATTAAAGTTTCATAAAAACCTGAGTTCTTCATATTTTCTCACATGAGCATTTCATTCATTGCTCTTGACAAGTCTTTAAATCTTCAAATGTGTTGGTTAGAGGTATTAAAGGGTGGAACTATCCTTTAAACAGACCCTCATATTTTTTGATGTTTATCCTTTTTGAAGGTTTCCAAATAATTTGCATTTCTGGTTAGTATCAATAAATCATTTCATACTTACAGGATGTGGTTTTATGGAAATTACATCTTCCAGTCAGAATTGGAAAAATAAGCTTAACAGTAATGAAATCAAATCTCCATTTCAACTGGAACAACAGCAGAAAAAGCACCACAGAACAGATCCTGAGCGCCCTTCCTTGTCCTCGGAGTAAATGGAGGCCACGAGAGATGCGCATGGAGACGCTCTTGTTCCTCCCTGCGTGCATACACCTCTGTGCATTGTGTGTTTGTAGGCGTGCTGAGGTCTGGTCGATGTGAGCCAGAAAAAAGTGCTCGGCTCACATTTGAGAGCGGTGGCTGATGCTTTCTCCCTTGGGCTTTGCAGCAGCACCGCTGTCAAACCCGGGGGCCCTCGCTTCTTCCCTCAGAGCCCGAGGATCAAACACTCGGCACAGGACTGTCAAACCTCATCTCGTCATGAGGGGGAGAGCCGACTGAGAGGCTGTGATTCGGTGGAAAACAGGGACAAAAAAAAGCACTTTACTTTGACTTGAATGGCCAATGTGCCCACTCAGCAATCTCTACCTCCATATCAGCATGTTTATGAATGTGTCCTACTTACTGACCATATGTGAACACTACAGAGCGCCCTGGGAGGCTTGCCACAGAAAAATAGATTTCACATGCCCACGGTGCTTGTCCTTTGGATGTTTTCTTGCGAATCACAGAGCAGGAACATGAAAATTCATGAACAAAACAATGCAGAACAACAACCAAGTACAAAACAACGTTTAGTTCAATACGGAGAAGAACAAACAGAAAAGCAACATGGCCTCCAGCGCTGAACCATCTCAGGAAGATTAATGAGTCGTCCAAAGGACCTTAAATTAAAATAGCATCGTCTTACGTATCATCCTGACAGGGGATAATTAATTACCGGCCCTCTTGCTATTGTTTTTAGAAACTGTACTCGCATTAGAAAGCCACAGCTTCCATTAATGAAATACACCACTTTCCTAACAGAGGGCTTCATTGGTGGGACGCCAGCAGGTCAGAGAGCAGAGCTTGGCATCAATAAAACTGCTGGCTCAGTTACTCGCTCTCAAACTAGAACATGGAAAATAGGACTCATGATCCTGTTTTCTTTTCCAGCACGGGAACAACACCTAGAGGGAAACACAGCGAGAAACGCAGCACGGACAGTTCAGCAGCTGTTTAAGTCACAGGGACTTATAGAAGCACACAGTATCTTTGGAGAAAGCTGAATAAATTATGGAGTGCCTCACACAGGAGATAGAGCTTTCTAAGAGAGTGGATAGAGTGCGCTTGTTTCACCTCCTCATCAATCAAGCATGGAAAGCAATCTAACGGCTGTCGATACAGGAAGGGCGAGTAACATTGAGAGGTCTTTGGTGAATGGGACGGGGGGAGGCATCTGTAGGAACCGCGCCAAAAAGTAGGCAGAGATCCAGGCAGACTTAGATTCCTGCTGCTTGGCGTCATCTTAAATCTTTCTCCGTTACTTGGCAATATTTCTTCTAAAAATACAACCGCAGTAACGTCCAAGAGGAAGAGAAGAGCTGCCAGCAGACAGGACTGAACTGTCCCAGATTTTGAGGGGCAAGGATTCGCCAGATATGTAGAAATCCAAAGGCATCTGATGGTCTTGTGTACTGCAGCCGCCATCAGACAAAAATCTTGGGTATTTTCCAAAGATGAGATTGGACTGTAAATGCTCTAAAACAGGCTTCATTGGCTAAGGCTTTACGCACTTTCTGGAGCTTCTGCAGACGGCCTTAATGGGCACTTGGGGCTGCGGGTTTTAGCTCCTCTGCATCAGCTTCATTTCTCAAAGTTGGGCTTTTGGGACAAACGGGATCCTGCTTCAACATGTGAAAAAGTCAGATTTCAGGGCGTGCAGTAGGGCTGCACGATATATCGTTTGAGCATCGTCATTACGATGTACGTGTGTGCGATAGTCACACTGCAGAGCCTGCGATGTCGGAGGCGAATAAACTAATCTAATTTCAGGGTTAGCTGACTGAGATACACTGCATGTGACTCTGCATGTGCTGTGCAACAATCCACCAATCACATTCGTTCTTTACTCAGTTGCCAACCAGACTACCCTGCCAGCCGTCAATCAAAATCAGTGAGGAGGAAACCACGCCCCTTTCGGAACATTACTCATCACTGTTTAGCCCAACAAATAAGAACTGTATGGGTTTTAAATCATACATTTCTGTGGACCACTCCACCATAAGCGGTGCGTGTTTTGCGAGGTGCATGCAATACTCGGCTCACATGCGTTTCTCGGCACAAAACCAGTAACAACAACGATTGTAAAATGAACAACGAACAAGAGAAAACCACCGAATATTAAGACTTGTTGCCAAAAAGAAAAGCAACTTCAGTTATCTGGAATTATCTCATTTACAAGAAAGATGATGTCGACCAAAACACGTGTTCTGTGTTCATCTGTTCCCACAATATCGTCCCAGCACAATAAAAGCTATATTAGATCTCTAAGACAGACAGAAGCCATTCTACTAACATTCACAAAAAGAGGTAAGATCCGTGCAGGTTAACTGCCCACAAGATTTCAGCAGTGCAGCATGACACAAAGTGTTATTCAGGTCATCTGGTGAAAATTCCTGTATTTTTTAATATTGCAATATTTATTGCAGGGTTGAAAAAATATTAGGATGCTAGGTTTTCCGATATCATGCAGCCTTAGCGGGCAGTGTCAGTCATTTAACCTGACGTCATGCTGTTACTAAAAGATATCCATCTGAAATCACTGTAATGCAGGACCTTCTGTGTGTCACATGACTGCAGGACGATGCATTACTGAGCTTTTTTCAGTGTGGTGCAGCTCTGTTATCGTCCACATGCTGTTTCACCGCTCATTTCTCTCCGTTCACTGTGCTCACTCCTCCGCACACGCTCACTTATTTTCCTGTTGTCATTCACTGTTTACATCACCAGGACATTTTGTCCAATAGCACTAATGCTGCTGCTCCCTCTTCCTCCGGATCATTCATGCTCCTGACCCTCCACCTTCCCATCACCTCCTGCTCCTCACAGCTTCATCTGTTTCATCAGCTGTAGATGTGGTTGTCAGCAATCTCCCCATTGCGTCCCAGTTCCTGCAGGTTTTCAGCTCCATCAGCCCCAGACAGCATCATTAGCCAACACCTCCACCACCAGTGAAGGACAAAATAAGACATACTGATGGTAATAACATGGTGACATAGCCATAATCCTTGTAGTGCTGTAATGAGAAACGTCTGCTTAAAACCGTCTCTGTTTTTCAGTTTCTTTCCTCAAAGCTCTGCAGTAATAGAGACGTCCTCACCGAGTACATTGTTATTTGACATGTGTGCTTCAAAATGAATGGCAGTGGGGCAGCAGGAAGTGTTACTTTAACATTCACGTGGCTCTTGAATCTGGTACGATGGGAGGTTGTCGAACAGTTTTCAGAAAAGCACTCAGAGCAGTGTGTGTCTTTTGATGCGGATCACCCAGAAATGCCACTCCAAATCCAAAAGAGTTCAGACATTTTAATACAGAGTTTGATGGTTTGAAAACCACTTAAAGTCTTTATTTAATTGAAAAATGGTGCACAGCGTGTCAAATGTTCCAAGTGAAAGACAATGTGTTTTAATGGAGTATATATGCTCTTTTAAAATTGTATTGTATTAGCAGATTTGAGACCAAAATGTCAAATTCTTACTGATTTGATTCTGATTTGTGGAGCAGCAACAAACTGTGTTCATAGATAATGGATTTGGACATGATTTTGAGGCAATGCAGTGATTTCCACTACAGAGCTGTGTCTGTTTTTTGATGCAGGGCCTAAAAATCAAAGCCATCCATTATTAGATACACACTATGGTGCCTTCTCTAGTGTACTGAACTTTACAGATAGCCAACAGTTGCTCCAGAAAACACCAGGAAGCTTCTCGCTGTTTTGACATTTATTGTAACTGATTGGATGCTTTTTTTCTTTCTTTGTAAAACTGTAACATACAAAAAGGTGCATATCACAACTAAAGCTGTAACATTTATTGACAGAAGTAAATGTATGTAAATCATTAATGGAGGCTAAGCTACAACTGAATCAATACATGAATCACTAGCGATTAGCATGACGCTAATTTACATTAAAACACCCATAGGGACGCTAGCGCTATTAGCGTCTTATTTTTTCTCAGACTTTTTGACATAAAACAACTTAAGGTGCTTCATGTGAGCATCTAACATAAAGTAACATCTTGTGACAATATAATACTTACAGACAGATGTCCTTAAACAGCCTGATAATATCGTGAAGGATGACTTAACACTGACGAACTTAAGACACGGCTCTGTGCGATTCACTTTGCAACTACGGTAAGGACAAACCTCATACTAAAGTGCGCTGTGTAATTTTAGTAAACATACGCTGTCAACAGACTGTCTTACCGGGGTGTGATTCTTGTTATTTACCCCTCAGTTGTTGGTAGTAAATCAAAAAGATTAAGCTTATAAAAAAACGACCTTTTCTGTTTCATTTTCAACATTTATTTTGCTGTTTTTGCTCTGTTACAAGTAAATGATAATTCAAACCATCAAATTCTGTTTTCATGAATATTTCCTATGCTGGCTATCTTAATTTGGAGTTGGGTCTGGGTATTATCCGTCCATTCAATTATTCCATTCAATCAAGTAAACGAAAAATGAAAAAACGAGTCAATATTTAATTTTTTTGTTTTTCTATAGAACGAAAGATAAGGATTTGTGTTTGTTTTCTATATGATATATATATATAATGGCGATGGAAACGAAAACAAAATAATAAATCTACTTCGCGTTTTTGGGTTATTGATGTCCCCATTTCCCACGGTGCCTTTCTACTGATAGTAGCCATCTCTCGTTTCCATCTCGATTATATATTCTGTTTTGAGCTGAAAATATGAAAACAAACACTGAACAAATAAACAAAATATTGACTCGTTTTTTTGTTTTTCGTTTACTAGATTGAATGGAATAATTGAATGGACGTATAATACATAAACAGAGTTGGATTTGAAGGCTAAGAGTGACTAGTTTGTGTATCCCATCATGCTCCTTATTGCTGCCATTGTTCAAAATCTGACAAATCCATCCCACACTGACATTACGTCTTGGTTTCTCCTAAAAGTAAATGGTCTGGGCAGTCAGACCGCG